TTTAGGGGCTCATATGAATACAATGGGACCCATCTGGGTAATCCAGAATGATCACTATATTTTAAGGTCCATAATCTTAATCACATCTGCAAAGTCCCTTTTGTCATGTAATGTAACATTCCCACAGGTTCTAGGGATTAAAGAGTGAATATCTTTAGGATGTACGTTATTATGACACCTTTACAGAATTCCCTCCCCTTGAATGTGGACTTGGTTTGGCAAATAGGATGCAATAGAGGTTATGAGATATACTGTGCAAGATTAAGTTAAGAAAAAGGCTGCAGCTTCCATTCTGGGGCATCTTTTTTTTTCTTTCTTGATCACTCATTCTGGGGAAGCCAGTTGCCGTGTCTTGAGGCAGACATAGAGTGGGGAAATCCATGGGATTCAGGGAAAAAAAGAATTTATATAGTGCTTAGGCACCATTCTGAATACTTTATAAATACTAACTCATTGAATCTTAATAACAACTCTCAGAGGTAGGTACTTATTATTATCCCCATATTTCAGAGGGTAAACTGAGACACATGCAGGTTAAGAAACAGGCCCACGGCCACACAGCTAGTCAGTGGCAAAGCTGAGATTCAAACCCATGCTCCAGAGTCCATGTTCTCAACCCCTGTATCTAGCTGCCACTAAAGGAAGGGCAGGAGGAGAAGACGGGAGGGGAAAAACAATACATTAGTCACTCAGTTGTGCCTTGGAATGCTGGGATTGGTGCATTTAGTGTAAAGACTGGCTGGATAAGTGAGCAGAGCAAAATCTGGTCCCACTGCTACAGAAGCTTTAAAAAGTATGAATGATTCGATGCAGTCATAACTGAACTGAGTGGGTAGTGTTGAAGTGACTTTCTTTTTTTTTTTTTGAGTTGGAGTCTCACTCTGTCACCCAGACTGGAGTGCAATGGCCGCTCCCGGCCACCGCAGCCTCAACCTGCTGGGCTCCAGCAATCCTTCCGCCTCAGTTTTCCAAGTAGCTGGAACTACAGACACGCGCTACCTCGCCCGGCTAATTTTTGATTTGTTGTAGAGATGAGGTCTTCTCAAGTTGCCCAGGCGGGTCTCGAACCCGCGGGCTCAGGTGAAGTGACTTATATCCACAGACAGTTGAGCTCCTGTTCTGTTCTCCCCCTGACTAGCTGTACCTTCAGTGAGTAACTTAACTTGCCTAGGATTCGTTTTTTTTATCTCTAGACTGAGGATGTTAACTTGCATCATCAGGGTCCTGTTAGTATTCAAAGAGAGCCTGCATGCGTGGCACTAGCACAGTGCCTGGCACACAGGAATAACTCCATAAATGAAAACTGGAGAGAAAGGTGAGCAAGTAAGGATGTCTTCAGGCTTTATGGTTGCTTTCTGTATGACCTCTCACAGCTGCTCTTATGAAAGAGGGAGTTCAACTATCCCCGTAAATCAACTAAAACTGCCAAAAGAAAGAACTCACACAGGAGGCCTGTTAGTGGAAAGAGCAGAACTCCCCACTGAGGCCTTATCACCCACCTGAAGTACTTTAAAGATCCTGGGCCTGCTTCATCCCTGGAGCACAGAGATATGCACAAAAGCAGATTAAGTAGAGGAGACAGCCCAGTACCAAACCCACCATTTGGCAACAAATGCCCCCACAGACTCAGAGACTGAGCCTCTTCCAAGGAACTTTTGAGAACGCACACACCAAAAGCCCTGTTGCCAGATGGAAGCTGAGCTGAGCTGGGCCTGGCCCCTGAACCCTGACCAATGGCTAGGCCTGTTTGCCTGATGCCTACTGAACACCAACCCAGATAGGGGTATCATGAGCCTCAGAGGGAAGTTCTCTTCTGCATATCTATCTGTAAGTTAATTCATAGGGAGACCTTCTTGCTTTGGGCAAGAATCTTGAGATAAGTAGAGTGCACTGACTCAGACTCAACAACCTCACAAATGGAAAGTTATGTGTGGCTTTTAACCTCACTGTTGGAGGCTAGTTAGCCTCTGAGAGAGGTGGGGGGAACAAAAACAGAAGTAAACAGCATAGAGTTCACCAAGTGAATAAACACTAAATTCCAGAAAAAGTCAGGTGGAGATACTGAGAAATCAAGGTATTTGCCAAAGTCTTCAAGATCTCAACGTAGCCCAGAAGAGAGCAGCAATAGTTAGCCAGGCTGTCAGAGGTGTGTGCCTGTTGTTAGATGACCCCAGACAAACATTTCCAGAAGCTTTTTTTTTTTAATTGGGGTTTCACTCTGTCGTCTAGGCTGGAGTATGGTGGCATGATTACGGCTCACCACAGCCTCCACCTCCTGGGCTCAGGTTATCCTTCTGCCTCAGCCTCCTGAGTAGCTGAGACACCCAGCTTTTGTGTGTGTGTGTGTGTGTGGAGACTGGGTCTTACTATGTTGCCCAGGCTGGTCTCAAACTCCTGGGATCAAGCAATCCTTCTGCCTCAGCCTCCCAAAGTGCTGGGATTATAGGCATGATCCATCATGCCCAATTTCGGAAGCATATTTTAAAAAATAAAAAAAAAGGAGTCACAGGACAAGACTAATCTTCCTGGAAAGACTCAAGATCCTCACTTGCAACTGCCAAGAGAACATTTCTCAAATATTGCATTATTCCCACAGATGCAGCATTCTACACAACTGTCTGCCCAAACAGCTTTTCATCTAAAGCCTAAATTTGCTTCATTGATAATTTCTGGTAATTCTTGGGGAGTGAAGACTGTTTTTATGATCTGCCATGGAGATGAGGACCAAGAAAACTTCACCTGAGAAGAAAATTATACCAATCTCACCGTGAAGGGTCAACAAATTTGTAAATAGATCCATGTGGTGCATAGGCACTTGGGTAAGAGGTGGCCAGGAAATACAGCTCCCCTATGGAAACAGGAATAGACAAACAATGACAGGACATCAGGCAGGGCTGGACACAGAGACAGATACACAGAAAAAGTCAAAATGAGGTTATGCCCCTAAAATGCAGTGACCCCCAAGAATTAAACCCCAGAAACCTGAGTGGCAGATCAGCTTCACTGAGCTCCTTGGGGACAATGTTCATCTTTAAAATCCCAAAGACTATCTCAGAGTGTGGCCCAGAAGTGGTGACTTCACACGTATGCTTAGTGGCCAGACAGACTTTTCATTTATCACGTCTTTGCTCACCAAAACTTGACCTTGGTGAATCTCCATTTCCTTCCCCACCTTTGTCATACTGATGAGGCTTCTCTGTGAACCCCTGGAAGCAGGCAGCCTACAGGTGAGGACGGCTTGTCAGCTGCTTCATCTTGTCCTTCTTGAGTCTGTTCCTTTCCCCTCAGCCTCACTCTCATTTTCCTCCTCATTCAGTCTTTGGACTCTGTATTTCCTTGTGACCATCCCACTCTTCAGCCTCTCCTCTGGGTCTTCTCTACACCACACAAAAATCACCTGTACCCACCCTCCCCTGCATTTCTTAGAAAGAACGCAGTTTCTTCCCAGTTCTTCCTGTTTCAACTCCAGAAAACATTGTTCCTTTCTTACAGTAACTACTTCATTCCAGCTTGCTTTATAGTTACTTGTGAGGGACAGTGTAGTACAGGGCTATGAGCCCCAACTTCAGAGTCAGGGAAGTCTGAGTTCAAATTTGTATAGCGCCAGTTATTAGCTACGTTATCTTAGGTGACCTCTTCACCTGCATAACCCTACAGATACCTGTTCATTTACAAAATGGGGCTCACAGTGCCTCAAATAATTGCTAGCTAGGTATTCAATTAGAAAGGGTTCAGTACTAGACAGTTACTATTACTTTCTTATCGCTCTACTCCTCAAGGGCTGGTGATGTGTCTCAAACAGCCTTGTGAACCTGGCACAATGTATGTGCAATTGCCCTGAATTAAATTTGCTTGCTGTTGTGCGCCTTATGCAATTCTCTCAATTTCATGGAAGAAGATGTCTATTAAGTTGCAAATTTGAAAACCTTGAAGCTTTATACATCTCTGGGTTATTTAAACAATTGCTCTTTGTGGACAACAGTGACCAGTGTCTGTCTTGGGCAAAGCATGAGGTTCACCATCTTTGCAGAGGTCCTACACAGGGCAGTAGCTACCTAACAAATTACACTTTTGTATACTGGCAAACCATATTTATAATCTTCCCTAGTAAGAGGTCTGAGGAGTTAGGACACCCCCTATCCTAGAGTCAGTTTGCCCTGTCTGATTGGAAACCCCAGACGCCATCCAAAGTGATTTCTGCCATTAGATAAATAAGGTGTCTACCAAGAGTGCACGTGTACACAGGTCACTCTCAGGCAGAGACCCCTCCAAACCATGCAAAGGTCTTCCAGGTCTGAAAAGAGAATTGAAAACCCTGCCTTGCTGTGTTCTCCCTATACATGACTGTAGTTGATATAAATTATATGTCTTCCATATGCCATGGACTTCCAATTATATTTTTAGAGGAAAACCATGCCAGAGGTAAATTTCATCTGCAGAGTCCAAGTGATATTTTTTAACATATATTTTAGAGGTAAAAAGAAAAAAAACTATAGTATGCCTTGTAAAACAAAAACACAAGCTGTGTGAATTTACTGCAAGCAAGGTAGGAATGTGCTTCAGTGACCGACATTCAGAAATCCAATCTATCAAATCTCTGCTAGGGGCAGCTCTGCACCAGTCGTTCACTCAGGAGTTCTCTATCTATACCAGCTGCCAACTCTAAGATCTAGAAAGTAAACTGTAGCAATAGTTGAGGCAGAGTTCAGGTCCCAACTAAAAAGTGACTTACCTAAAGCCAGTGGCTGATAATAAAACAATGAAATAATACTCAGATCTAAAAATGTCTCCAAGAGGGAAAGAATGTGTCAAGAGCAGAAAATATGAATCAGTTTATGTGAAAATACAAAAGCAAGAAACTCTGGGGAAAAAAAAAACTTGCCTAGGGAAGTTCAAATACAGGAACAGCTTTAGGGCTGCCCTTGGGCAATGGCTTGGGAACACCTTGGCAAGTTCACTCTGTAAAATTCAGCCAAGGACGCTTAGTTCTGATTGCCAGATGTACTGTTTGGTTTTTTAAAACTGCCTGTTTTCTACTGTGAGAAGCTTACAGGCACAACAAACCAAACCACAAAAGCCAGAGTGTCTGTGGCCTCCTGAAGAGAAACAAGTCACAGAAAATGGCAGCCTAGGGTCCCTGGGCAGGCCTGTCTCTGGGGGTCTACCCTCTGGGCGTGCTCTACCCTCTGGGGGCCCAGCACGACAGAGGCCCCACCACAGCCTGTAGTTTTCACATCACCCACTTTCCACTGGGCACCATCCTGCCAGCCTGTGGTTTCTCTTCTTTTTTATATGTTTGAGCTTCCAATTTGGAACTCATATAGACTTTTTCCTATTAAAAATGCTTGAATTTTCCAAAATACTCTCTTTCCTATAAAACACTCATCTCAAACTATCTATTCATCAGCTAGCTTGGAGGAAAGAGTGCAGGAGCTGACTGGATCTCTTTATACTCTACTCAAGTAAAGGACCGTACAGCTGCCCCATGGCTCAGAGTAGAAAGAAACCAAATATTTAGAAACTCTTCAAGGCTCTGGTTTGCAACTGTAGAGAATTCTAGGTCTAGAAGAGACCTGAGAGATCATTATATTCTCTTCTTTACCTATAAGCATGGCTAGATATAGTGCGAAATACTGAAAAGATTACTGTCCTCCGGTAAAGCAAAATAAAATTTGAAAATTTTATCTTTCAACATAAAACATAACTTTGTAAGGCTGGAATTAAAACTCAGTGGTCTGATTATAAAATTTTTGGAAACGTATTTGAACTAACTCTCTCTCTCTCTCTCTCATATACATGGACACGTCTTGCTTTAACTTTAGCTGATGCCCTCAACATGAGCCTAGTCTGTTCATTGAGTAACCTCCTACCAACTGTCTACCTTCCTTCAGATCCGTTAAAGAAGAAATTCTCTCTTGTTCACAAACTCTTGGCAGAGTCAGGAAAGAGTCTGCCTGGCCCAACCAGTGAGATGATCATCAGAGATACTCTCTCTGAGGCAACACCAGCAGGATAAGCACCCACTACCTGTTTGGTCTGGCCCACTCTTGGCCCTGCCCACATTCTTATGATTGTGCTTTAGAACAGATTTGCCCCCTACTATAAGTTGTGCGACTCCACCAAGAAAGAGTAGGTTGGCATTATTCTAGTCTGGTTCCTCACTGGTGAAATGGACATTATAATTACAGCGTGGGAGTGTTGTGAATAATAAATAAGGTGAAAATGTAAAGTGTTTAGAACAGAATCCAGCACATTATAAAAGATGACTAAATGATAATTATAATAGTAGACGTGGTAATTACCATTCAAATAAAAGTTCAGTTGATGTCTATGGTTACCAAACTTCCAATAGGCAGAAATCACATAACCCTGTACATTTGTTACCTGCCTCATCTTCAGCAAAGGAGATGATGAACTTGCTATAGGTGCTGATTAGCCCTGGGAAGGCACAGGAAGTCGTGCTGCCCAGGCAAATGTCCTGCTTCTTCCATTTCTTGGTTTTTCTATCTTCCTGCAAAGCCATAAGTTGACTAGATGAAAAAGAAAACCTTATATTTTAGGAATCCATATTTTCACCCTGCAGGATACTTTTTATCCTAGAATCAGGGGCCCTTGAGTACTAGGACTGGGTCTCCCATAAAGAAATCAATAACTGTCCCCAAGAACCAAAGAAGCTGAACCAAAGAAGCTGCTTCAGAGACACTGCAATCACCTATTTGCCCTAGATGGGGCAGCTCATTTTCGATTATAAAAGGAGTGCCCTGCAAAGGTGGCACCATTAAAAAATACCAATCTTATTTTTATTTGTGTGACCTTTGGCTAGCTCCTCAACATCGCTAAGCCTCAGTTTCCCCATTTTTAACATGGAGAGTGATAACATAATTTACCATAGTAGAAAGTTGTGAAGGTTAAATAAACTAATATGATAATTGTATTGTTCCCAGAATATAGTAAAGATTCAAAAAGTACTAACTGTTTTTTTAATTATTATTATAGTAGATAGATGTGTCATATCTCTCTGCTATCTGTCTGAATTAAAAGCAGGTTGTTAGAAGAAAGGGAAAAGGAAGTTGGGTAAGCCCAGGGCACTCATCAGAATCACCTAGAAAGTTTTATGGAAACAAAGATACCCAAACCCATTGTATATTAATCAAGTGATATGTATGGGGGTGGGGGTTTTGGGGGGAAAAAGAACAAAGATATCCCAAAGATCTAATGAGAGGTTATAAAAGACCTAGCCAATTAGTAAGTCTATCCCATCTCTGTAAGCAAGAATTGCAGCATGAAAATATAACATCCTTTCTAACTAAGACGGAATAATAGGAAAAATATTTAGCCTCCCTTCCTAAATAGCCAAAAAGCTGCACAAAATAGAACAAAATGACTTATAAGACACTGAAGATCAGGCAATATAGGAGTGTATTCACTGAGAAATAGGAAACAAAAAGGTGAGCCCTATATTTGTTCCAGTTTACTAGCTTGGAAGAGTTTCTAGCACAAGGAGGGAAAACACAGGCAAAGTTTAGAAGACTTGTTGAGCTGAAAAGACATTGGTGTGAGTCCAGGAGAGCAATGCAGTAAGAGTTTGCAGGACAAATATTGTAGAAAAGAAAACTGCTCAGAGAATGAACTCAAATTCCCCTCAAGAATTTATCAGCATTCTCAATAACAGATAAATGCAAGGAAACTACCTAATAAAAAGCAAAGGAGATAATTAGAGGGAAAAAATCTGAAGAATTAGTAATAACTGAAGAAAAGTACTGGCATTGGCAAAGGGTCAGGAATGGTTTAAGTATAAAATTCACAGGGCATTGGTGGCATTCTCAGGTGACATACTTGCTTCAGTAGTGAGCAGTAGAAAGCTCTAGAAAAAGCACCACTTTTGACCTGCTCAACTAGTATTAATGGCAAAACCTGAAAGGATCAAACTATTTCCAAGTAACCTAATTGTGGTCCAGAACAAAAATAAAAAATATTTATAGGAATATAAAAATATCCAGCATCTATGATGTTAGATTAATAATTTCTGGCATCCAGTAAAAAATTAGTAGGCAAGTGAAGAAGGAGGAAAATACAATCCATAATAAACAGTAAAATCAGTCAATCAAAATTGACATAGAACAGATACAGATTTTAAAACTAGCAGACAAGAACATTAAAACATGATTCGTGCTTTATTTCATGCTCAAAAAGTTAAGTAGAGACATAGAATATGTAAAAAAGACTCAAATCAAGTTTCCAGAGCTGAAAAATACAATGAATAAAACGTATTCGATTTTTAAAATACATTCATACACACACACACACAGCTGGGATGAATGGCTGGTTTAGACATTACAGAAGATTCATAAACTAAGACACAGCAACAGAAACTATCCAAAAATAAAACACAGGTTTTTAAAAATGTAAATATGCATAAATCATCAATGAACTGTGGGAAAACTATAAGCAGCCCTGATATGCATGTAATTAGAGTCTCCAGATAAAAAGAGAGAAAGGGAGTGGAAAAACAGAAAAAAAAATTGAAAAAATAATAACCAAAAACTTTCCATATTTAGCGAAAGCTATAAACTCACAGATCTAATGCAACAAGCTCCAAGCACCAGAAATATAAATAAGATGAAACCAAAGCATATCTTAATGAAATTGAACAAAACCAACAATAAAGAAAAAATCTTAAAAACAGAGGAAAAAACTTCACATTATGTACGAAAGAGCAAATATAAGGGTGACATCTGATTTCTCACTGGAAAAGATGCAAGCCACAAAATAGTGGGGCAAGCTTTTTTTAAAGAAATAAAGAAAAACATGTCAACATAGAATTCTACATCTAGTGAAAATATTTTTCAAAAATCAAGGAAAAATAAAGACTGCAAAGGTGAAAATAATTTATCACTCTAGACCCATTAAACAAGAAATATTAGGCCCGGGGCAGTAGCTCATGCCTGTAATCCCAGCACTTAGAGAGGCAAAGTTGAGAGGGTCACTTGAGCCCAGGAGTTTGAGACCAACCTGGGAAACATTGCAAGACCTCATTCTCTACAAAAATAAAAAAATTAGCCATCAACAATACAGAAAATAGATGACTAAATTGTGGTCTATTCATACAACTGAATATTAAAAAGCAATACAAAGACAAACTACTGATACATGCAACAACATTGATTAATCCCACAGACATCATTGAATGAAAGAAGCCAGACACAAAAAGAAGAGTATATACTATATGATCCCATATATATATAAAGTTCCAAAAGCAAAACTAATCTGTGGTGAGAGTAGTTACTTCTGGCTGGTGTGTGTGTGTGTGTGCATGTATAAGAGAGAGGGAAGGAGGGAGGGAGGGAGGAATAGTATTAACAGGTAATAGGCAAGAAGAAACCTTTCGGTGTGATGAAAATGTTCTGCATCTTGCTATAGTTAGTGATATACAGTATATAGTATACATAAGAGGGACCCAAAATATGGAATTTATTTATAAAAAATTATGTCTTCTTACATGTTTAAAATTCAGTCACCTTAAAACTACTCTCTATTGAGACACTTTTTTGACTGCTCAAAACAGATTTTGAACTTGTCAATTGTGATGCCTCTTAGTGCTTCTGCTGTTTTTTGTTTGGTTGGTTTTTTTGTTTGTTTGTTTGTTTGTTTTTTTGCTTTTCACATCAGCAAAATGTTTCCTTTGAAAACCTTTTTAATCCAGGGAGATGTTTTTTAAAAAGTCACCCAGGGCAAGATTGGGAGAATAGGGAGGGTGGGGCATGGAGGGCATGCCATTTTTGGTCAAAAACTACTGAATACTCAGTGCAGTAAGGGCAGGTGTGTAGTCATGGTGGAAGAACCAGACACCTGTTTGTCACAACTCAGGACACTTCTTCTGCAAATCGTGACACAACCTTCTCAAAACTTCCAGATAAAAACTTTGGTTGACCATTTGAGGAACAAATTTTGAGTATATTACAAGGGGCCTGCTCTCCAAAAGATAATTTCTTTAAAAAAAAAAAAAAACTCAAACATCTGTAAAACTTTATACAATCAAGTTCTTAAGAGATTGTATTTCACTATATATGTTATACCCGTATTTTATGTATATCTATTTATTTCAAAATGTTTTAAACATAACTATTTTACATATCCACCTATATAATAAACCAATTTCTTGTCCAATAAATACTACAAAAATAATTTTTCTAAAGTTATATCTCAGTAAAAATGTCAAAATAAAAAAGGAAGAGAGGACATCAACCCTTCCTTACCCACTCATAAAGTCTCCAAAGATGTAGAGGCCATTGAGATTTGGAGATTCACACCCACGGTAGACATAACCTCCAGTGACTGACTTCCCCACCGCATGGCCGTAAGCATAGATTGGCAGAATGTCATCTGTCCAGGAACAAGGAAAGAGAGTGAGTGCCATGACCAAAAATTGGAAGCTCCAAGGAGGAAGAAAGGGGCTTTTTAATTCAGTTGCCTGATTCAGTGAAGAACACGTTTATCTCTTGGTCTTCAGGAGGACAAGCAAGCAAATGAATCGTGTTTATTTTTCTCAGTAGATCAGTTACAATTCTTGTGAACATCTCACTTGACTGTTATCTACAGACACAGAGGAAGCCAAAAGTTTCCCCCATCTATGAGGCAATAACCTGGAAATCCACACATATTTTTCCCCTAGGCTGATGTGGCAGATACTATACTAATATGGTGGGGGTCTCTAAGACTACTATGTAACTTAGTGAACAAAAAGACTAAGCAATAGTGATAGAGTCAAAACACTGAAATTTTGAACCAGGTGGAGGAGTTTCTAAAGCACATCTTGATTATTGATGTTTAGGACTTGCCCTCTGACTTGACTATATGCAGAATATCATTTTACTGGGTTGTCCCAGTTGGGAAATAAAAACATACAGTCACCAATTTCTCTCTGCCAGTGGTTCTCAAAATAGTATGCCCAAAAATCACATGGGTAACTTATTTAAAATACAGATATCTAGGTCAATCCTATTCCCCTAATCCACCCAAAATTCAGATCCATTAGGTTGGAAGTAGAGCCTAGGAACGGACTTTTTTTAAAAAAATAAGTCTGGGTCTCACTCTGTTTCCCCAGCTGGCATGCAGTGGCACAATCATGGCTCACCACAGGCTCCACCTCCTGGGCTCAAGCAATCCTCCCACCTCAGCCTCCTGAGTAGCTGGGATTACAGACACATACCACCATGCCCAGCTAATTTTTTTTATTTCATATAAAGACAGGGTCTCGCTATGTTACCCAGGCTGGTCTCGATCTCGTGGGCTCAAGCGATTCTCCCACTTCAATCTCCTAAAGTGCAGAGATTACAGGCATGAGCCACTGTGCCTGACCAGGAATGTACTTTTTTAGCAGACACAGGTGTCTCTGGTACCAACGGCTGGAGGACCACTTGGAGAAGTACTGTTCCACGGGACACAAGCAAGTCCCTATGTAAACAACCTTCAGGGCAAGACACTCAGGTTTTATTTACCTCTACCTCCAACCAACTTAATTCATCCAAGAAACCACCCAAAAAGCATCCTACTTACCCAAAGAGGCATTGTGACAAAGTTTTTTGTCATAACATTCAAACCCTTCCTTTGCCCTCCAGCCATAGTTCCCTCCTTTGATGATGAGGTCAACTTCTTCAAACCTGTTCTGGCCCACGTCCCCACAGAATATCCGGCCTCGACCCTCGCGTGTGGCGGGGTCTCCTCGGTCCACGGCACAGCGCCACATGTTTCTAATCCCATAGGCATAGATGGCAGGATGGGTCCCTGGTTCAGAAACAAACGGATTGTCCAAAGGGACTCGGTACCGCTTGCCATCTGAGCCTGCTCCATTCACATCGATCCTTAACACTTTACCCAGCAGGGAACTTCTGAAAAAAAGAAGGCCAAGCGACAGACACAGGTAAGCAAAGGCACAAGACTGGAAAAGACCACCCAGAAAGGCTGATTTACAGCCAATGCCCAGAGATTGCTGGTATTCACATGGGGAGTCGTGACTTACAATTTTCTTTTAAAGATATACTTGATCTTAAGACCACTCTATTTTGGGTTCAAGGAGAACCACTAAGCAAAAGTTCGGTGTGATCCCTTGCCATGTAATCCTGAGCAAGTAGCAGCTTCAATTTTTAATTTTAACAACAAGGATGGCTTCTCTCTGCTTTGGCCTAATACTATCAATTTTTTAAAGAAGCTAGGTGAATTCTTCCTCATTTATTCTGCCAATTACTATGGTCTCTTGGCTCACTTTCCTCATTTCTAAAGCGGGGGAGAGGAACTGTTGGTCTTGCACCGCAACTTCTTGTGAGAATGAGAAATCCCACAACCAAGGTAAAGGGTCTGGGATCTAATGGGCACACGAGGCGGCTATTATATTCAATACATTGATGTTATTTACCTTGCAGTGTGAGTGTGATGTAGGGTTAAATGAGTTATTGTATATGTAGCATTTAATGCAATTCCTGAATCACAGTAGTTATTCTACAAATATTAACTTTGTATTATTATTAACCTTAATATTTTTATTACTAGGAATAACAAGAGCTAAATGCTTACTAGCTGCAAAGGGCAGAAGGACCACATGATCTTTATCTAGAAAACACAGCATCACTGGACTCTGGCACCACGTTGTCTGAGTTGAAATTCTTATTCTGCCACGGCTTACTCTACGACGTCTATGCTCTGTTTTCTTGTCTGTAACATAGCTATCATAATACTTATACTTCATGGACTCATTCATTTCATGTGTATCTATGGAGTGGCTTACTTGTGCCAGGTACTTTTCTACGGGGTGGTGATACACCAGTTAACAAAACAGATATAAATTCTTGCCCTTGAAGTTTATTATACTTATGTCCTTGAATACATGTAAAGTATTTAGAACAGTACCTGACAGGCAGCAAGCACCCAGTACACACTGGGTCCCACTAGCTAACTTCTCATGTGTTTCCAGGGCCTACCACAGTGGCTGGGACACTGTGCTCAGTAGTATAATTGAGTTCAATTGCAATAAATGATTACTGCAGTGAATAGTGTCCTGCTAATATACGGGGATGCCAAAAAAAGATATACACATTTTAAGTATGACATTTGCTCAAAAGACGGTGTTAATCAAATGAACACTAGAGTCACCAAATGATAGGCAGGACAGTCAAAGAAAACAGTGGAAGCACGGTTGAGCGAGCATCACACTACACATTGCTATCGAAATCTAATTCAACTTTGTAAAGTCATACATAGATAAAATCTCTTAAAATGTGTATACATTTATTTTGCAGTACCCCCTGTATATTTAAAATTCAGAATTCTTCTCTATATAGCACACTGAGAGTTGTATTGAACATACATAATATTAACTACCAAAGTACACTAAGTTTGAAATTTATAGGATGGGAAACTAAACAGTCTCCCTGTTTGCCTCAGTAAAAGGGACCACACCTTGCAGTGTGCAATTTGGGTTTGACACCATCTTCTCAAAAACACCGCACCAGGGGCCCACACTAAAGGGACAGGGGCCCAGCCTCCATCTAGCTTACTTGTTCTGAGCATTCCCAAATGTGCCAAAGGGGTCCCCAGCTTGTCCGCCATCTCCAGTAAATATGTACATAAAGCCATCCAGGCCAAAAAGAAGTTGTCCACCATTATGATTTGAGGCTGGTTCTTCTATCTCCATGATGACCCTGGAAGAGAAAAAGAAACCATGCATTAAGTTTTGATACAAGCTGAAACTGTGTCTTCTTGAGATAGCCAAAAACGACTGGTCTAAGCCACCAAGATATGCCAAGCTGGCCAAGACCTGCTTCTGAGTTTCCAGGGGTTACAAAGTGGGTAGCTTTGGGGCTCTGAGATGCCCCATATTTTCTGGTATGACTCCTTCATGGATCATTTTTCTTTCATACCATGACTTCATGAGCTATAGATTCAACCAGGGTAACAATCATACTTTTCTAGGTCTTGCACTTACTCTCTGCTCTACCAGAACTCTCCATTCTGTCCTTTGAGCAATTTAGCAGGGATTACTCTATCAGTTCTTCATGCTCTTTCTAATCATCAACCTATTAATAATAGGAAAAGAGACAAGGCAGAAAGAAGGAAAGAAGGCAGAGGTGGTAAAGTGGAAGAAGCATGAGCTTGGGGTCAATTAGAACTAAGTTTTCTTCTGACCATGCATCAATAGCTTGATAACCTTGTGCCATCTCCTCAAATACACTGCATCAGGGTCTCACTCTAAGGGGAGAGATTCAACATCCAAGATCAAGGGTCTGGGATCCAATGGCCAAACAATAAACAGAGGTTGCTTTTATATTTAATATATTGATATTATTTATAATCATTTCTCAAACCCTATGGCTGCTAGTCCTTGCTGACCCTCAGTGAAGACAAGCAAATATGGCTTCTGCAATTATGGTACTGGCGAGGTGATGGCAATACCCCCATCAAGTGACTTGACTCAAGAGTCTAACTTGAGCTGTCCTCAATCAACAATGAGTCCTTTATGAACATTTTAAGTTAGTGCTCTAAAGCCAGTCAAGTTCCCTTCTATCATCTCCGAAGTCTGACTGGAATTATTTTGGAACACAGTGCCAAGTTGCCGATTCTTGTGAGTGCCTACCTCTCTGATTTCAGGTCAGCTTTGTTGGGATCAGCCCGAGAAACCTTCATCTCACTAATCCGGATCTTTTCTACCTTCTTCTTGCCCAGGCATGAATAATAAATATAGAACTTGCGATTGTGGTGGAATTTGGGGTGGAAAGCCAAGCCCAAGAAGCCTCTCTCATCCCCAATCCATGGAGTGGTCAACACGATGTTCTTGAGGTCCAAGAAGGGTTGTTCCAGGCGACTCCCATCCGGGAGATAGACCCACACAACTCCTATCTGCTCAGCAACAAAGAAGCGATGGGTGCCATCTCCAGCATGGACCATAGAGACGGGGTTCCTCAGCCCATTGGCCACCTCAGTCAGGCAGAGTTGCAGGCAGCCCTGATGGTCCTTGGCCACCACACCCAAGTTGCGGTTGAGATAGTCATTTCTCAGGACATTGGGGAAGCAATAGTCCTTGTCAGGAAGGTTAAGGAGGTGGCAAAAACGGGCACCATCCTTTCCTTGGAACTCCTGGAGGCCACGGTCATTGGTCAACAGGGAGATAGCAGAGTGGCAACTAGAATGGAATGCAGAGCAGTAGTCAGAGCAGAGACCAGGAAGGTTCCGGAGGGGTGTGTGAGGGTTCTCAGCATCGTAGAGGTGGGCTGCGTAGGGCGAGCACTCCTAGAAAAGAAAAGGAACCTCAGTCTCAGCAGTCAGACAGGCAATGGGGCTTGTCTCCATTTTTAAGTTAGCAGGAAAAAAAGTGATGTAGGAAAAAAATCAGCATTCTAAAGTTTTTGTTATCAACTACTGATAAACCACTTTCCCCTATGACCCAAATTTTCTACCTAGTTAATGTTCCTGGAAGACAGAAAGGGTGGGGGTTGAGGAATCTCTCATATTCACTATACTATCTCTAGCCTTTCAGCTCAGTTCTTGGCACAAAGTTTTAATAACTGATGAATGAATATTTTTTTCGAGGGAGATAGTACTAAATTTCTCAATCTTTCCTTTTTTCTTAAAAAAGAAATGACAAGGTCTCTGCTCTATCACCTAGGCTGGAGTGCAGTGATGCAGTTATAGCTCACTGCAGCCTCAAACTCTTGGGCTCAAGTGACCCTCCCGGCCTCCCCGTGCACTGGGATTACAGGCACGAGCCACTGTGTCCAGTCTCCCTTTATAATAAATGCTGTATCTATAAGATTTTATTTCTTTATACAAATATGAAACAATTTATCACAAGTTTTACATTTGTTCAATCTGACTGTTGGATATACAGTGTCAACTATTTGATTTTCTGTGCTTTTTCATATTTTAAAAATATTTTACAATTAAAAGCAAAATTATCAAAGTGAACACTCGCTGTGTCACTTTCAAAGATTAGGCATCCAGCAATCTCTTCACTTATTTATTTAAGTGTTTTATATATGCAAAGGACCATGCTGGAAGCTATGCACACCTGAATTGTGACTATCAGGCAGTATGACTGCTCTTTACACAAACATATGAGGACCACATGCCCACAGGAATTTCTGCTACTCAGACCTTCTTAGACTATAATATGTTGTAGGAGAAAAACAGAATATTGTGGGCAGACAAGCAACTCCCAGGAAGACAAAGGCAACTGAAATTAGGAAGAAAGGTTGGCTGAAAGGGGCTGTGGAGTAGAGCAGAATCCACCAGCCCAAGAGACCTCTTTTGATCACCAGCTGGCCTGTACAGAGCCGTCTCGTTCACTTCTGTGTTTCCATCACTTCACAAAGGGAAGAGCTGCGCCGCTCTTCATGTGTGTGTGAGTTCCATGTTCTCTCATTTCCCCTGACTGTAGATTGCAGAGCAAGCTCCGGGTCACTGGGTAGAGAGGAGGAAGGAGCCTACAGACTCACAGAGGCTCTCTTGAACTGTTTCCATTCAGGACAATTTGTCAGAGCTGCTACCAAGAAGTAACATGACCTGCTCTTAAGTGTCCCTTTATGGACTCTGTCCCCTCTTAGAAAGTGTGAAAAAGAGAGAGGAAACTGGAATAAGGACGAAATACCAGGGACTACAAGGGGCCTGTAGAAATAGAACCCCTCTATGGCATATTCTTATGCAGCCATTTAGATTTTGCAAAGTTGCTTTTACTCAGTTAGCTCGGCAATTCAACATATGTTCCCCTACTTTAAGGGCGAGAGAAATAAAGCCCACGAAGAGTCTCTCTCATGTGACCCTCCTATGGAGTCTCTCTAGTGTGCCAGTGCATTGATCGTGACACAGCAGTGAGAGAAATGCACCAAGTCTCTGTTCTAGTGGAGTGTGCACTTGCAGGTGCTCAGAAAACCATCAAGAAAATGGGCAAGTGCTGTTGTTACTTTACTTCGGCTTAGTGTGATCAAAAGGCCCAAGACTGGGAGTCTCAGCACCTAGATCTGTGCCCCAAGACTGTTTGAATAAGTCATTTAAAACTCCTGATTCCTCATCAGTTAAGTGGGGGTTATAATAACTGCCTGTAGAATTGTTGCTGGGTACGCATCACAGCTTCAGGGGGAAAAAGAGGGCCTTGTACATTTTAATAAATAGAAACGCATTTGTTAATAATAATTTCAGGTTGTTTGGCTGAAATTATTCTTATTCCACAAATCCCTAAAACAAGAGAGCTGCTAGCATTGGCTTTCTGAAACCTCCTGCAAGAGGGAAGGGGGAAGAGAAGACATTTCTGCAAGGGGAGATCTCAGAAGTAAATAGTCTCAGTGCTGCTCATAAAAGCTCAGTTTCCACCCAAATGGTTATCTCAGAGTTAATTCTGTTGGAAACAGCCGAGAGACAGTGCCAAGATGACAGCATACAGCCCCGGGCAGTGCCACCCAGGTGGCTGGTTTCTGTGCCAGGCTCAGCCATAATTCCGCCTAAACTCTGAGAAGCTCAGTTAACTATTCTGTGCCCTGCATGAGGAGTTGAGGTGGCCAGTGTCTCCAGAAGAGTGGCAGTAGGAGTCATGAAGAGATGCCCAAGGATAGCCAAGTAATTGTGCCGATATGCCTAGGAGGGTCTCAGATTAAAAAAATCTGCCTGGACTTCCTATCTTTCACCTTCAACACATCATTAGAGCACTTCTCCTCCCCATGCACCCTCCAGCGCTGACCACCTGCCCTTGCGCCTCTAAACATCCTTTTCCCACAAGGTAGATATGTTCAGCCTGCACCCACTGTTTTCAGGCTGGACTCCACTAAGGCAATGCCACCCAGGCATGTGGATTTTGACACCGGAATAAGAAACTCTGTGAGTCATTGCCACTCAGCAGCTTAAAGTTCTCTCATCCAGCTCTGGAATTCTGGGCAGACAGGACGCTGGAGAGAGTCTTCCAATCCCTGTCTACCATCATGCTCACAAAAGACACCCCCCCGGCACAAATCACTCATATGAGTGAGGACTGCACTCCAGCAGTCCTTGCTCATTATTCCATCACTTACTCACTCCATAAATGTAAATGTCATGGGTGTAAGTGTCCGCTATCCAAGCCCTGCAAGGAGGATGCCAACAATGGCTGCTCTGAGAGTTCCATGATGATTATACTCATTCTCCCGAGGTCTAGGGGAAAATCATGGCCAGCAGAACCCCAGAGGGAAAGCTTTGGAGAACCCATGGAAACCAAACTCAGCACACCCTCACCTCAGTGTGCCTGTCCAAAGCCACAGTTCCAAGGTGAGGCACCTGGCAGGTGAGCTTCTGAGGGACTTTCCTCCAGCACCCATACCATGCAGCCCAGTACCCCCAACCACCAGGGATGGAAGGCATTTTTCACTTCCCTCAAGGTTATGCTCAGGCCTACCTGACAAAGGATGTCTTTAATGTAACCTCCACACAGCTCATGGCTCTTCAGATCAAAGTATTCCATGATGTCCCAGTATCGGGCAGCAATGCGGCGGTCCTTGTACTGGTCACAGCAGCCAAAGGACTCATAGTCAGAGCAAAATTCCAGGTGCAGGGGAGGCTGGAAGGGAGGCTTGTAATCCAGGCACTGGGGGTGTCCCTGTAGCAAGCCCATCTGGCCCAGTAAGAATGTGAGGCAGAAGCAGAAACTACCTGAAGAGAGCCAGGGGCCCCGGCAGCTCAGACCATCTCGCAGACTAGGAATGGACCTTCCCAGCATTTTGGCTTTGGGAACACTCAGGCTGCTGTGTTTGCTCAGGTTGGCTTCCCTGCTCTGTCCAAGTTCCCTCCCTCTCTTCCTCCCCCCAGCCCACCCCGTTTTCTCTTCCTTCTCTTCTCCTCCTCCCTCCACCAGGTTCACTGAAGTGGATTCTGAGCAGTGTCCCTTCTGTGACCCTGGTAGGTTAATCATCCCTTGTGAAACAGTGGGAGGGGACCCTATCCCCTTTTATCCCATCTAAATGTGAAGTCAGCACAAGGGTTCACCCCAGTGCTGTGTTATGGGGGCACATGGTTGCTTAGCCAAAAAGTGCAGTAGTGTCAATGGCAAAGGTTCTGTGATTGATTAAGGCTGCAAATAATCCCTGCCATGCAGGGAGGCCAGGAAATTCTCACTTGCTGACTGTTTCTTCCCAGGCAGAGCAGCCCAGAGTCACCATGAGAACACTACACGTTACATGGTCCCAGACATCAGACTCTGTGGAAGGCAAGCTTCAAGCATTCCTGCAGTACTAAAGAGCACTGCAGGGGTGGAGGGGAGATAGAAGTGGCAGGGCGGGAGGCATAAGTGCTGCATAGCTCCTGGAAAGGTGTGTGTTGGCATGGTAAGAAGAGAGGGTATGCCATGAATCCTGCCTCCATAGCAATGACCAAGGAGAGGAAAGAGGAGAGCATAAAGGAAAAGAAGGGTGTCTTACTCAGTCCATATGCTATAGCAAAACACCACGGATTGTGTGTGTGTGCGTGTGTGCGTGTGTGTGTTTTTAGTTGGAGTCTCATTCTGTCATCCAGGCTGGAGTGCAGTGGGGCACTCACCGCCACCACAGCCTCAACCTGCTGGGTTTAGGCGATCCTTCCGCCTCAGCCTTCCAAGTAGCTGGAACTACAGACGCATGCCACCATGCCAGGCTAGTTTTTGTGATTTATTGTAGAGATGAGGTCTCACCAAGTTGCCCAGGCTGATCTTGAACCCCCACGATCAGGCAATAATTTATAAATCATAGAAATTTATTGCTCACTGTTCTGGAAGTCCAAGATCAAGATGCCATCGGGGCCAGGCACATGGTCCACACTTCTAATCCCAGCATTTTGGGAGGTCAAGGTGGGAGGATCACTTGAGGCTAGAAGTTTGAGACCAGCTTAGGCAACATAGAATTCTGTCTTCACAAAAAATACAAAAAAATAGCTGGGTGTGATGGTATATACCTGTAGTCCCAGCTACTCATGAGGTAAGAGGATCCCCTTAAGCCCAGGAATTCTAGGTTGCAATAAGCCACAATCGCACAATGGAACTCCAGCTTAGAAGACAGAGCAAGACCGCCTGTAAAAAAAGACAAAGAAAAAGAAAAAAATACCAGCCAGCTGTACCTGGCGAGGACCTTGTTCCTCACTGATGGTCCCTAGTTGCTGCATCCTCACATAGCAGAAGGAACAGAAGGGAACAAACCTCCCTCAAAGCATTTATAAGGCTCCTTCATGACTTAGTCACCGCCTAAAGATCCCACCTCTTAGTATCATCACACTGGGAATAAGTTTCTTTTTTTTTTTCAGTTTTATTCTTTTAACACTCTAAAATATTATTTAAAAAATTTTTTATTTTAAAAATGTGGAGTACAATTCAGAGTTAGGTATACAAATGGTCATTGTACAGATAAAGTTTTGGCCTCACTTTGGTCCCCACTTCACCTGGTTTGAGATCAGGTATCTTTACTGATGAAATATGCACCCCCCTTCCCTGGCAGTTTCCCACTACTGCCAATCCCTTTTTTATAGTATAATTGTTCAGGGTACTCAGCTGTGAACATGTGGTACTCAGCTGTTTGTTTCTGTGGGGATTAAGTTTCAATATATGAGTTTTAGGAAACACATTTAGACAATAGCAGGAGTGTGGCCCAGTGAAAACAAGGAGTCAACAAGGACATGTGGTACTCAGCTGTTTGTTTCTGTGGGGATTAAGTTTCAATATATGAGTTTTAGGAAACACATTTAGACAATAGCAGGAGTGTGGCCCAGTGAAAATAAGGAGTCAACAAGGACTGTTTGGGACAATTTCATCAGGAAGCACAGGATGTCTGGGTTATTTTTGCCAAATCTATATCTGCTTTAGGGGCTCTCCTCCTCGCTTCTTATGTTCCAGCATTCATTGTTTTATTTATTTTTGTAATCAATATTTTTAATTTTGATATTGTGGGATACAGTTAAGGGTTAGATATACAAATATGTTTCATTCAGGCACCCTTGTTGATAAGGGGTGTCTCCTCGTTCATTTTTTAAAATGGTTTTTGCTTTGTACATGTCCCTTGTACATAAATATTCCTTCAATAAATATTCCTTGAATGAGTGAATGAAGGACATGGAGCCCCAAACTCACACAGCCCTAAATCCAGAGGCATGATCAGAGGTATAGATCCATGCGGACATTTGGTACCTGAGCTCAGTATTTTCCATGATCTAATCCACCCTGAAATTTCTTTACTGGCAAAAGCTTCCTTTTGAACTGCCAATGAAATTCAAGTTACTTCTTGTTCCAGATGTGCTTCTAGGAGGGCACCTTTACCTTCCCTGGCTGTTCTACTCATTACCAGAAACAGCATCTGCCAGGATATCAAGAGGGGACGGTGAGCCTCAATCTAGCCAACTCTGTACTCACTATGTTCTGGATTATGAAAGTCCCAACAGCATTTAAAAGACAAACAAAAGGCCAGACTTGGTGGCTCAGCCTGTAATCCCAGCACTTTGGGAGGCCAAGGTGAGTGAATTGCCTGAGTCCGTGGGTTCTAGACCAGCCCGGGCAACTTGGCGAGACCTCATCTCTACAATAAATTTTAAAAATTAACCGGATGTGGTAGCACACACCTGTGGTTCTGGCTACTTGGAATGTTGAGGTGGAAGGATCCCCAGAGCCAAGCAGGACGACGCTGGGGTGGCTGTGAGCAGGCCACTGCACTCCAGCCTGGGCAACAGAGTGAGACTCCGACACAAAAAAAAGACAAACAAAATCTTTATAATCTTTGTAAATGGGAAAAGCCAGGAGGTGGGAGTGGTCAGAATGATTGCCAGCACAGACCTGTTTTCCTATTTGTGCAGTTCAATATCATACCTAGTTGAGGGGTGCTTTTGAAAACATAAGATGTTATCCATGATTCACTGGTGACTGTGTTGTTTCCTCTTGGTTGTTTGCACAAAGGTCAGATAATGTCACTGCTCTGGAAGCCTTGAGCAGAAGGAATAACACTTGGACTAACATCAGCCCATGAACTCACAGCCACCATGGCCTTCTCAGAAATGGGAGGTCACCATCTGACTCTAGGCATATGTAAGAATGAGTGCATTCTCCCACTTCCTGGAGGCATAAGAATATATTCTGATCTTCTACTAACGTTTATATGTTTTCCTTATGTCATGAAAAATATGAAGATCTTATTGTTTGGCGCCTAGTCATTACAAGATTAGCAGAGAATGATCAGCTAGCAGGATCTCATCATAGTGACAGCATGAGTTTATGATTATTAAAATATGTAATTTTCAGATGATACTGTATAACATTTCAGATATAATTATACATTTGGTTAGATAATAATCATGCAATAATCAATTTTACAATAGATTCAGTGTCTATTCAATAAATACATATTATTATGTGCAAAGTATCATGCTAGAAGAGGAATGCTTAACAGAAAAGTGACTTTTAAAACAAACTTTTTCCAAGTCTACCCTCTGAGAAAAAAGTATTTAAAAATATCCAAATAATACAAGACAGATTCCATTAAGATAACAGTAAAGGAGGAGCAAACTGCCATTAGCGATTTCAAGGATGGAGAGCTGGCATCAGGCCAGAGCTGAGTAAAAATATGTTAATGAAAGTTGAACGGGACTCTTAGATAAGGTACAGGTAGAAAAGAATAAAAAAGTAAATTTTGACTGAGTGTTAGGTAAACTTAGAAAATAAGTCGAACTATAAACTAGGATTGGACTGAGTATCTGAAATCACTTTAGCTCCCACTTTCGAAGCAAACATAATCTTTTAAAAAATTATTGTTTTAGTTGCTAGAGCTGCCATAATAAAGTACCACAAACTGGGTGGCTTAACCAACAGAAATATGTTGGCTCACAGTACTGGAGCCCAGAAGTCTAAGATCAAAGTGTTGGCAGGTTCTTTCCTTCGGGGGCCATGAGGGAGGCTATCACTGTGCCTCTCCCCTAGCTCTTTGGGGTTTTCCAGTAATCTTGCATTCTGTGGATTGTAGATGCATCACCCCAATCTCTGACATCATGTTCATATGGCATTCTTTCTCCCTGTATTCATGTCAGGGTTCAAATTTTCCTTTTTATAAGGACACCAGTCATACTGGAATAGGGCCCACCATATTGATCTCATTTTAACTTGATTATCTCTGTTAAAACTATCTCCAATTAAGGTCACATTCTAAGGTACTAGGAGTTTGGACTTCAACAATTCTTTTTGTAGGTGACACAATTGAAACCACAGCACTAATATGTGTGCACACACACACACACAAACACACAAACACACACACACACGGTTTCATACGGCAAGTACCTTTTTGAAAGTAATGTTGAAAGGTTGAGAGTTGTGTTTATCCTAGAATCAGGTCATGGAGTAGAATATAAAAAACAGAGAAAGAAATGTTCTAGCTCAGTAGTTTATCAGAGTTTACTGATTTTCTCTCTACCTTCAAACTAACTCCCTCCCACAGATGACCAGATATACTCAAGATTAGGGAAAGTATAACTCTTCCAATGGTACTGTGCATTACGCTTTACAAAGTATTTTCTCACATTGTATCTCATCTGATCTTCACAATAATTCTCTTAGGTAAGCAAGGTGGGTATTACATTACCAGTGTGTGTATGAGTGAATTAAGTCTCAGAGAGATTCAGTGAAATACTTCAGGGTTCCACTTTAGATAAACGGAAAATGGCAATAAAATTCAGGAGTTCTGAATTACAGCCCAGATCTCTTGCATTCCAACTTGATGCACCCAAAAAGAGTGAAAGTAATCACTTTTTTTTGTTCTTCATTTAGAAACAGTTGTGCCAAATGCAGCTACTGAAGAGCATTGTTGACTGAAGATTCAGTCATACTGACGAGATTATCTGAGAAATTCTGTTACGGGCATGCCAGGATTTGTAAATAAACAACTAGCAGTGGCATCACTATGGGACTGATGGGCAGAAACAAATTAAAGAGCTGCCTTCATAACCATAAAGACAAGTGGAGAAGGCCTTTGTGCAGTGACACGCTCACAGCCACTGCAACCTCAGCCTCTTGGGCTCTGCTGATCCTTTCGCCTCAGCCTTCCAAGTAGCTGGAACCACAGGCACACGCCACCATGCCCGGCTAATTTTTTGATTGTAGAGACAGGGTCTTGCCAAGTTGCCTAGGCTGGTTTCAAATCCCTGGACTCAGGACTCCCAAAGTGCTAGGATTCACAGCCGTGAGCCACGGCACCTGGCTGTGGAGGCTGATTCTTTTAGAAGTATGAATCTTTGAAAAAAGAAAAGGGAACAGTTTTAAGATTTATTAATTTTTAAAAATTAACTTATTCAGAGGATGCTAGTCATGATTTATAGACCACATTCATTAAGGATGTTTCCTGTTTCCTTTCAAAATACTTAAAATATAAACACTCTAATTCAATACAGCAGAAAAGGCCCTTGTGCTGTAAATATGGGTAAATAATTAGACCCAAAGGAGCACACCTACCTGGTTTATTTTTTAGCTTTCCTTTTTAAAACATGCAGATGTAGAATTTTCCATTTGTTGAGAAAAACCATATACTGGACCCATGCTAAACATTTTATATCTGCTTTCCTCAGGCCACTCCACTTTACAGAATAAGCATGAGACTCAGTTAGGTGGGGCTTCAGTAATGCTGGAATTTGAACCCAAGCCTTTCTAAATCCATATACCTTTAATTTCTCTTCTTTTCTTTTCTGAGGAGAGACAGGCTTGGGGTGTAAAAGTTTTGAGATGTCATTCCATAACATATAATTCATCAATTAAGGGGCTAATATCTACAATATTTAAGGAACTCATAAAACTCAATACCATATAAATAAGCCAATTTTAAAAATGGGCAAAGGAACTAAACACACTTCTCAAAAAAAAAAAAAAAAAAGAAATCCAAGTGTCTAACAGGTATATGAAAAGGTGCTCAACATCTGTAGTTATGAGGAAAATGCAAATCAAAACTGTATTGAGATATCACCTCACACCTGTTAGGATGGATAGTATCAAAGTACTGATGAGGATGTGAAGGAAAGGGAGCCCTTGTACACTGCTGGTGGGAATGTAAATTACAGAAAACAGTATGGAAGTTCCCCACCAAACTTAAAATAGATCTGAGTATATATATTCAAAGAAATTGAAATCAAGATTGCAGAGACATACCTGTATTCTTATGTTCACTGCATTGCTCACTACCACCAAGATACGAAACAATCTGAATGTTCTTTCATTGATGAAGAGATCAAAGTGGTGTGTATATAAATACAGTGGAATATTATTCAGCCTTAAAAAAAGGAAATTCTGCTATTGTGACAACATGGATGACCCTGGAGGACATTATGCTAAGCAAAATAAGCAAGACAACAGAAAGAAATACTGCATGATCTGGTTTATATGTGAAATCTTTTTTTTCTTTTTTTTTTGAGCCAGTCTTGATTCTATTGTCAGCGCTGGAGGGAGTACAGTGGCACAATTCTGGCTTACCACAGTCTCAACCTCCTGGGCTCAAGCATCCCCCTGCCTCAACCTCCTGAGTAGCTAGGACTACAGGGACACGCCGCCACAACTGGCTAATTTTTTTGAGTTTTTGTAGAGACAAGGTCTCACTATGTTGCCTAGGCTGGTCTTGAACTCCTGGGCTTGAGAGTTTCTCCCAGCTCAGCCTCCAAGAGTATTGAGATTACAGGCATGAACTATGGCACCCAGTCATTAAATCTAAGAGTCAAATCCATAGAAGCAGAGAGTAAGATAGTGGTTACCAGGGGCTGGGAGAAAGAAAATGGAGTGATGTTGGTCAAACAGTACAAAGTTTTAGTAATACAAGATGAATAATTTCTGGAAATCTTATATACAACCAGGTGATGATGATAAGTTATTGTACAGCATACTTGCAATTTGTTAAGAAGACAGAATTTAAATCTTCTCACCATGCGTTGACACACAAAACGGTGGAGGTAATGGATCTGTCCATTAACTTGATTGTAGTGATCATTTCGTAGTGCATATGTAGATCAAAACATGATTGTACATTTTAAATATATACATTCAGAGGTTCCCAGGAAAAAACAAGACTTTAAATTTTCCTTACTTAGTTCTTATTGCTTAGGGTGTTTTACAGGTCAAATATCCCTTATGCAAAATGCTTGGGATCAGAAGTGTTTCTAATTTCAGAATTTTTTCAGATTCAGAGTTATAATATACTTAACTGACCGAACATCATTAATCCAAAAATCTGAAATGCTCCAATGAGCATTTCCTTTAAGCATCATGTTGGCATACTCAAAAAGTTTTGAATTTTAGGGAAATTTAGATTTCAGATTTTCAGATTAGGGATACTTGACCTGTAATTAAAATTTATTAATCAATAATTATTATCCTATGGATTGACTGTATTTCTCTCTTCATAGAAATCCAATGAGATATCCTAGTCTCTATTCTACAGATGAAGAAACTCAGAGTTTAGTAACTTGTCCAAGAAGTCAAAGAATTACCAAATTATGAACCCCGGATTCAAACCCAACAGTCTCTCGGGGCTCTACGCTCAACATAAATTTGCCAAGTTATTATTTCCTAGAGATGGGCAGACCTCGTCAATAACTTTTCATTCAGTTCAACTCAATGACTATTTAATAAGCTAGAAATTCTGTCAGGTGTTGGTGTGATGGAGATGACTAAGTCTACTAGTGAGAAATAAGTAATTAAGCAATGTGATGATTTGATAAGAGGCTGTGTAGAAAAGTGAGGACAGTGCAGGTAGCCTACCATGCTGGCCAGAGTAAGGACAGGTTTTGCTTGAGCCAACAGCCTCCAGGTCATAGGTCTCCTCTATTCTTTTCCTTGCTAACTAGCTTAGTAATCTGTTTGCCGTAAATACTGACAAGGCTGAAAGATAGTACAAATAGTAACTGAGAGTGATCTTCAGAACCACACTGATTGGGTTAGGTCCTGGTGACATCTCCTAGCTGTGGCTTTGGTAAATTATTTCATCTCCAAGAACCTTTCTTGGTAAGACAGGTAAAATTCCTAGAATTGTGGTGGTAATAGAATGAAATGTAAAGTCCATAGTGCCTGATAAATTTTGGCTATTACTATTATTCATGGTTTTAACTTCAGTGGACCTAAAACAATTTTCACAGGTGCTGAATCACACTGCTCTTATCAATTAAATATGAACATTTGGTATAAAAATTCTAAGAAACTGAACTTTGTGTGACAAACAAGAACTGCATCTACTCATTTTTAAAATTCTCATCTTAATTTTTTCAGAGATTATGATCATTCATAAATTCTATTTTACAGCTTCTGACTAAAGGTTTCAAGAGGTGAATTCCCTGGTAATCTTGGCCTATGCTTTGAAAGTTTGTCTACATTTAGGAATTTCATTCCCATAATATTGATCTTACACAGAACTCCTATACAATCCAATCGACTTTCAGCAGTAAAGCTAGTCCTATTCATGTGGTAGCTTTAACGTGGTTTGCTTTGGTTTTGTGGAACACCTACTTGTTTTATATGCACATTATAAGGTTGGTTATTTCTATATTGATAGATCTTTCTAAGTATAAAATAATATTGAGATATATTTTTGACAAAGCATAATTTGTCCTCCAATTTTCTTACAGATGGCTTAATAGGAATATAAGCCAATGGACAAAATATGTGGTTTGCCACCTAAATATTAGACTTGCTCTGAAGTTAGTGAGCCTTCATGGAACTCAATTACTGGTTATATGAACAGTAAATATATAAGAGCCAAGATATTTTTGAAGTACTTTATCACAACATGTTATAAAGCCCAACTCATGTTCCAGGAAAGCTGTTGTTGGCTTGTGGACAAGCTTTCCCAGTGGGTTTACTGTGTGACACAGGGACACTATTTCATTGGCAAGTTTCCTCCACTGTCCAGCTGCTCCTGCTGCATCCTAATTTCCAAGAGAAAAAGGAGCGGACACATGAGTTCTAACGCATGTCTTAGACTGCTGTGCCAGGCAAAAAAGAAGCCTTTAATGTTAGGCTAGTGCCAGCTAAGAGCAGCTAGCTCTATCTCGCTGACCAAGATTAGTCCTATAGAGTCAAAGGTCTCTTTCTAGCAGAAGGTCACTTAGTCCCAAACTGCTGTGTCTCTAATTCAAAAGGGAGAAGAGTCCCTTTTTAAATCCTTCTCTTTTCAAAATTCATCAATAGAATTCATCACCAACATATTTCTTCATGGCGGTATACCTAAAATGAATCAATCAGAATCTAAAAGAAGAATATACATTCATTTCGCAGTGCCAAAAGTTATGTTTTATTACAAAGTAGTCAGAGGCAAACTATCTGCAAATAGCAACTTCTGTAGAGCTCCATTCTCTATAATTAAACATGTATTTTTTCACTTGAAGAACTATCCCTTAATAAATGTTACATTAACATTATAAAAAAGAAAATATACATATTTACAAAGAGCAAAGGCAGCAAGAGTGTTTCTGTGGTTATAACTGAGAGTAAAAAATTATATATAAAAATAAAATTTTTATAGTCGTATAAACTACCTCTTTAAAGTACTACATAAATACATTCAATAACCACTGAGCTACTACTCTGTAGCTACTACCGTAAAATAACATTTTATCATTATCAGATTCCTGAATTTACAATACTATATTTTTTCACTGATTTCTTCATCCGCTTGATTTTCTTCATTAAGACTTGGTGGTCTTGTTTTAAAATATACCGAAAATACCTACAACCTAAAAAATAAAGCAAAATAAACAAAAAGTTTTCATATTTATCATAAAATCTTTTCAAGTGTATTTCTACATTTTAAAATTTTGCTTAAACTCTGGCATACTAGTGATAATGAAAATAGGATTTATATCTATTATCTATACCAATATGTCCTCAGCATGTCCTAAAAGCTGTCACCAATGAAATGTATTGCTTCCTATAAAATATTTCTGACCCATCATAATTAAGGCATAGATTTTATCTTGTTTTCTACACTTTCCCCCAAATCCTAGTTTTAGTAATCTGCATATTATATAAATGTTCATTATTAAATGAGTCTTCTCTAAAAGTATTACTATAGCTTCTCTCTCAATGTTATCCTGTAAATCGGCCAAAGTTGCTTTTATAATAATAAGAAAGCTCTCTTTAGAAAATATTGGCATGAAGGATTAGAATAACCAAATCACAGGTCAGAAAAGAAAAAATATTATGTATTCATTCTAGCTATCTAGCAAGCAGCTGGTAGGCGATCATATGGCTTTGACAAAGGGGCCCCGTATTCATTAGAAGTTCTACTTGCTCTTAATAGTCTTACAACACAAAGGACCATTTGTCAAATATTTCAGAGAATGAATCACATTTCTATAAAAAAAATATACACTGAATATTATAAATTTTGTTTGATAAATGAACAAAACCATAAATCACATATAAAAATTAATTTCATTATAGTCTTAGCTTGTATATATTCATATTCATCTTCTCTGGGAAATTGCTAGGGTATATACTGAACCTACAGTAACTATCTTATTATTCCTGAAAATAATGAGCCAGAATTGCTAATATTTTGTTTTTGTTGTTTTTCTGAGACAGAATCTTGTTATATGTTGCACAGGCTGGCAACAGCCTCCCAAGTAGCTGGGATTATAGGTGCATGCTATTGCACTTAGCTCGCAATTGCTAATATTTTACTAGATGGGAAACAGTAGTGTCTGTGGTATTATTAAAACAGTTTGTGTTTTAAACTTATCATACCACTTCGTAAAAAAAAAAAAAAAAGTACTTTGTATACAAATTTTTGCCTGTTCCTACACAGAAAGCTGGAAAGTACTTCGTTCCCATCCTAACACAGAAAAGAGGTCAAACTCTTCTTAGGTATACCAGAGAGCTGAAACTTCAGGGCATTCAAGTTGCCCAAATCCTAAGAAGGAAAGACCTGCCAAGAAAACGGGCCTGGCTTGCTTTTAGCAGAGCATGGGGAAAAAAAAGCATGGGGAAAAACAGCATACCCACTCTAAGCAAAGGCAGACCATAACTAGAATCTGAGTTCTATGATATAAGGATGGAAGAGCAAGAAGCAAATCCAGCTTAACTCCTGAGTAGCCTGATTCAATTCCACACTAACAACCTGAAAGAAAAAGAGATGTGGTCACTTCAGGCATAACTGATGCCTGTTTTCTGCAGAGTACTTTAGAATTTATAAAAGCACTTTGATGTGATGTTCATGTGATATTCACAACAATCCTATAAGCAAATAAAGACAGCTGTTACAAGGCCCATTTCACAGAGAAGGAACCCAAAGGTTAATTCCTGAAGGTTACATGGCAAGTGAGAGAACTGGAAAATTAACCTGGGTCTTTAGACTCTGCTCAAAGATATTTCTCTACTTATAAAGTCGTAGAAAATGACAACTCAAATCACATTTTTGCTCCTTGTCATTAGAGAACAATTTTTAAATTACTTTCTTATTAATCCCTTTCCTCACAAAACCAACATTTTATTAATCTTGGTAACTATCTTAAACATTCACTGAGAATACTAATTCCAAAAAATACACACCATATCCAAAAGTGAATTGAGACTCTCTTTAGGACACCTTGGACTCCTTAGCAACAGACTGCTTCCTAGTGGTCATTGTAAAGTTTACTTTCTTTATTTCTGGACATAATTTGTGGCAGTTTCATTTCAGTACTTGCCATCTTTTCATATTTCAGTGGTACAAAGCAAGTAAGAGTTGTATCATCCAAAATATTCCCTAATGTCCCTATTCTTTTAAAAGGATTTTTTTATGTTAATAGAAGATAGTCTTTTCTCTTAGGGGAGAAAATGTTTCACACTTATAGAACAGATAAATAAACATAATATAGAGCTATTAAAGAACAATAAGGTAAATAAATAATATTTTCATACTTTTAATACAGTAGACATTTTCAGTAAACTTTATATAAAGCAAGGCCAAACAGTCATTTCTTGTGAAAACAGTCTGCATGATGTTTCTTAATGCCCCCTCACAAGTCAGAGCATGAAAACCAATCACAATCAACAATATGAAATCACTGTTTCTAATCAGTGAGGATTCCTTACAAGTACATCACCTGGCCTCAACTCAGATTTATTCTTCCTCAAGTACCTAGTATTTTTAGGCACCGTACTAGTAAGATGGTCACATTTTGTAATTTCAAAGTCAGTCAAAAGTTGTGTCTAGATAACAAGAAAACAAAACTTGTACCTTTTCCTAGTAGTAGTCCAGCCACAAAAGATTTCTCAAAAGCCAAAGCTGTATCTTCCTTCCAATCACTTTTTGCCCAAAAGTAGCTGAAGTGAAAGCTTGGCCACCAGTTTTTCCTGGAGTTCCACTCTTCCTGCACCCATGCAGGGTGGTTTCTGGAAAAGAAAAATTGTCAAAAGGGAAGATCAATGATGGGGACACATATATACTGTCAAAATTCAAACTTATATAGAGTCTATGGATAACAAGACTTTCCAAAAATCTGAGTAGGCCAAGGTATAACAACATGATTGGCGACAGCATAAAAGCAAATACTTATTTTCTTCCAGATATCTCATTTTCCATATACTATATATTTCTTACCCCATTAAGGTCTGTCTCAGGTATTTTGCCAAATATTTCCAAGCAGTTATATTCTTAGTGCATCCAGCAAAATCTAAGACTCCAAATAATACCTGCAATGCCAGTTTATGGTGTTCTTCTTTCTCTGCAATGGTCATAACAGTTCAAGTTTACAGAAGGTACTAAAAGTGTACAAAGCTAAATAAATATATACAGTTAATAAAACATTATTGAATCACAAGCTTTCTGCTTTGGTTAATAGTTTTTTTAAAAAGGCACTATGTTCACACCCCTGGATGAATCTGAAAAATTCAATAATTTAGTCCATGCTAATGAGTCACAGTGATAAGTCTGTGCTGGGTTATATTCCTCTACTTATACAAGGTCTAACAATTAAGTTCATGAACTTGCCACCATGCACTTACATTGGCAGCTCTGTACAAACAACTTGGTAAGATTTCATAACCTTGGCATATCAGCGTCTCACATCTGTGTTCGTGTTGACATGTGGTGGTGTCTTGCTGAGTGTTGTTCATTATTGTTGCATGTTTTTGTGTGCTGTCAGAACTTGAATTAGAGCAATAAACATTACATTTCTTGTTAAACTAGGCAAGAGTGGAAGTGAAATTAGGAACATATTAGTCCAAGTTTATGGAGATAATGCCATGAAGTGTACAAATGGATCAAATATTTTTCTGATGGGAGAGAAAACATCACTGATGAAGAGAGGTCAAGACAGCCAGTAACGAGCAGAACTGACTATAACACTGCAAAAATCAGTTAAATTGTGCATCAAAATCATTGGCTGACTGTGAGAAGCAGAGTAGACCAAATATCAATAGAAAATCAGGAAAATCTTAACTGAAAATCTTGGCATGAAAAAGATGTGTGTAAAAATGGTCTGGAAGGAGCTCTTACATTACAACAATGCACCTGTTCACACAGCAATGTCTGTGAGGGAGTTTTTTTGATGGTAAATAACTGCATTGGAACATACTTCGTTTCCACCAGATCTGACCCCCAATGAATTTTTCTTTACCCAAAGATGAAGGAAATACTGAAAGGAAGACATTTTGATGACATTCAAGACATCAAGGGTAATACAACCACAGCTCTGACAGTCATTCCAGAAAGAGTTCCAAAATTGCTTTGATGGGTGGACTAAGTGTTGGCATCAGTGCATAGCTTCCCAACGGCAGTACTTCAAAGGTGACGATAGTGATATTCAGCAATGAGGCATGTAGAACTTTTTCTAAGAAGAGTTTGTGAACTTAATTGTCATACCCTGTATACTACCAAAAACATGATTTAAAGTATTAGCCCTGTTTGGGCATTTTATACATGTTGTCTTATATCAGGAAAGAAACTAACACAGTCTTGGGATCAATTAGGTTTAGCCAACTGATTTTCATCTATGAAGAAGTATGTTCTTTTCTATACTGAGTTGAAGTCCATCAGAGACTCAAATGAGATGAATTATATAAATTGAAGCCATTTCTCTTTTGCTAACTATTGTGTAACATTCAGGAGTCGGCAAACTTTTTCTGTAAAGGGCCATATACTAATTATTTATGAATCATGCAGTCTCTATCACAACTACACAGCTCTGTCATAACAGTACAGCCACAGACAATAAATAAATGGGCTCCAACAGATTTGATTTCTAAAAGTAAGCAAGGAGTGAATTTGGTCCCTAGGCCACAGTTTGCTGATCTATCTATAGTTTATCTATACAAAGAGATATAAAACAAAATTTATGTACCTGATTTTTTAAGTAATGTATGGAATTCCAACATCAATTTATGAGATGGTACAATCTGATACAAAATCTGGAAGAAAAAAATAGTCTTATAATTTTTACACACTTGGTGAAGCCATCTCTCAAATTTCAGCTGACTTTCAAATAAAGTTCTTATTGTCTGATATGCTCTCAATAAATTAAGAATTTGAAGATATTTTGCTTTTTACCCTGTAACTAGAATAGAAAATCATTCTCTATTAAAAAAAATCCCTGCTAATAAGAATAGAAATTGGGGAAAATAAATGAGGGCTTTCTCTTTTTTTTGCTCCTTGCACACATCTATATTGTTTTCACACTTAAAATTTTTCGATAATTTTTCAGAGGGACTGAGAAAAAAATTTCAACTGATATCACACAGAAAATATATACTGCAGAATATTTATATTAAAAAAAGGCTGGGGAGGCAATTTTACAGATTGTGTTCAGGAACACAGAATGCTAAGTGTATTTGCATAAGCTTAGTAAAACAAAGCTCCCTGAAAAATTTATAAAATGTGATTTCCACATCTGAAGGTTTGACAATGAAAGTATGGATTAGCAATAAGTGGTCTTTTTTTTTTTTTTTTTTTTGAGTTGGAGACTCACTCCGTCACCCAGGCTGGAGCACAGTGGCATGCTCACGACCACTCATCGGCCTGCTGGGCTCAGATGATCCTTCCGCCTCAGCCTTCCAAATAGCCAGAACTACAGGCACGTGCTACCACACTCAGCTAATTTTCTTTTTTCTTTAATTGTAACGATGAGGTCTCGCCAAGTTGCCTGGGCTGGTATCAAAATCGCAGGCTCAGGCAATCCACTCGTCTTGGCCTTCCAAAGTGCTGGAACTACAGGCCGAGCCACTGAGCCCAGCCAATATGTGGCCTTTTAAAAGAAGATTCATAGATAAGAATTTTTCCCAGTCATGTTTTCATTGAAAAGGACCTTTGTCTTTGCTCTATAATATATCGATTAAAAAACTGTCCACAAAATATATGAGAACTCCTACAATTTAACAACAAACAACCCAACTCAAAAATGGGCAAAGAACTTGAATAGTCATTTCTCCAAAGATAAATAAATGACCAATAAGCACATGAAAAGATGCACAACATCACCAACCATAAAGAAAATGCAACTCAAAACCGCAATAAGATAGAGATACCACTTTATACCCATTAAGACATAAATTATCAGAAAAAAAGGTATGGGAAATAGAAGTGCTGGCAAGGATGTGGAACTGCTGGTGGGAATGTAAAATAGTGCAACTGCTATAGAAAACATTTTGACAGTTTCTCAAAAAGTTAAAGAATTACCATATGGTCTAGCAATTCCATTTCTAGGTATACATCCAAAAGAACTGAAAGCAGGTACTCAAATACTTGTACACCAATCTTCACAGCAGAATAATTTTGCCCAACAGTGAAAACAATTAAAGTGTCTACCAACAAGATATGAATAAATAAGCAAAATGTCATTGTACATACAATAGAATATTATTCAGCCTTAAAAATGCAGCCTCGACCTCCTGGGCTCACGCAATCCTTCACCTCAGCTCCCCAAGAAGCACACACCACCATGCCCAGCACCATGCCCCAGCACGCACCACCATGCCCAGCATGGTGTAGAAACAAACAGCTCTTTGTAGAAACAAGGTCTTGCTATGCTGCCCAAGCTGGTCTCAAATTCCTAGGCTAAGCAATCCTCCCACCTCGGCCTCCCAAAGTGCTAGAATTACAGGTGTGAGTCACCGTATCTGGCCAGGATGGACATTCTGATGTATGCTACTAACTAGAATGAACCTTGAAAACATTATAGTAAGTGAAATTAGTGGGACACAAAAGAACAAATGTATGATTCCACTTACATGAAGTACCTAGAATAGTCCAATTCACAGAGATAGAAATGAGAAGTTTCCAGGGATTGAGGAAGAAGGTAGCAAGGAGTCATTAACAAACACAGCTTCTGTCTGGAATAATGAAAATGTTCTGGAAATAGACAGTGGTGATGGCTGTACAAAATTGTGAATGTACTGAATGTCGCTAAATTAAGCTTAAAAATGGTCAAAATGGTAAATTTTATGTTTATATATATTTTTATCACAATAAAAAAATTAAGCAATATTACATAAAACAATTCCAGACACGAAACACTTAGGGGCGAATTTAACAAAATGTATACACTAAAATGTACAAAACATTTCAGAGAGAAACTAAAAACCTAAATGAGTAGAGAGATATGCCATGTTCACATTTTAGAAACCTCAATATTAACATGTCAATTCTCTCAAAGTTGACCTAGAGTAGATTCAAAAATCTTAGGAAGATTTTTTTTTAATCAACAACTTGATTTTAAAATGTATATGAAAAGTCAAAGAACCTAGAAAAGCCAGAAATTTTGAAAAAGAACAAATCTATACAACTTTCATGATATGACTCCAAAGCTACAGTAATCATGGCATTGGTATAAAGATGAAAATACACATCACTAGAACATAACAGATGCCATATACAGCCAGTTGATTTTTAACAAAGTTACCAATGTAATTCAATGAAGAAAGGAAAGTGATTTCAGTAAATAGTGCTGAATAACCATATGGAAAAAATAAACTTTGACGCTTAACACACACTACGCACAAAAAATTAGCTAGAAATCTATCACAGACCTAAACATAAAACTATATGACACATCTAGCAAAAAAAAAAAGAGGGAGAGTATCTTCCATTATCTTGGGATAGACAACAATTTCTTAGACAAAAGCACTAACCATAAAAGAAAAAAAAATTGCATAAATTGATCTTCATCAAAATTAGAAGTTTTTCAACAAGAAGTCACCTTATAAGAAGTTTCTGTTCAGCCGGGCTCGGTGGCTCAGCCTGTAATCCCACACCTTTGGGAGGCCGAGGTGAGTAGATTGCCTGAGCCCATGCATTCGAGACCCGCCTGGGCAAGCGAGAACTCATATCTCTACAATAAATCAAAAAATTAGCTGGGCATGGTAGCACGCGCCTGTAGTTCCAGCTACTTGGAAGGCTGAGGCGGAAGGATTGCCGGAGCCCAGCAGGTCGAGGCTGCGGTGGCCGGGAGTGGCCCCTGCACACCAGTCTGGGCGACAGAGTGAGACTCCAACTCAAAAAAAAAAAGAAGTTTCTGTTCTTTGAAAGACACTATTAAGAAAAAAAAAGGAAAGCCAAAGTCTGAGAGAAAATATTCACAATTCATATACCTAACAAAGGACTAATATCCAGATTGTGTAAAAACTTCCAAGTCAACCAATAACTCCCACAAAAATAGACAAAATATTTGGATATTTGGACACTTGACAAAAGAATAAGAACGGCCAACAGACATTAAAAGATGCCCATCATCATTAGGAAAATGCAAATTAAGGCCACATGAGATACCACTACACACCTACTAAAATGGCTATAATTAAAAGACCTACAGTATCAAGTGTTAATAAGGATATGGAGAAACTGAATTTTCATACATTGATATTGGAATGTCAATGGGACAGTCACTTTAGAAAACAGCTGGGCAGTTCCTTAGGAAATTAAAGATAGGCTCTCCTTACTACTCTTAGGTAACAATTACACTCTTAGGTAGCTACCTATGTGAAATATGAAATACTTGTATACACAAAGACTTGTACATGAATATTTTTAGCAGCATCATTCATAATAGCCAAAATGTAAAATAATTCAAATGTCCATCAAGAAGTGAATGTATAAAAATGGAATACCACTCAGCACTAATAATACAACAGTATGAATGAATCTCAAATACACTATGCTGAGAAGGAAAAGCCAGATTTAAAAAGAGTACATAAGATTCCATATATACACAATTCTTGAAGGAATAAAATTAATATATAGTGACAAAAAGCAGATTAGTGATGCTCGGGCCTGAGGTGTATGGGTAGATTGGCTGCAAACAGAAATGTAGTACTTTTTAGAGGTGACAAATGTTCTATACCTTATTATGTTGGTTTGTGAATGTATGTATTTGTTAAAATGCATACAAGTGTACACTTAAGCGTGTCTTACTGTCTGAAAATAACATTTCAATAAAGTTGATTTTCAAAAAATATCAATGAGAGTTTTCCAACCCCGTGGCAAAGGGTCTCTGAAACACTGATCCTCTCTCTTCAGTCTCACATGAGCAGAAGGGGATGGTGTAGACAATACCTATGTGGAGTCTGTAGCTGAAGCCAACTTTCCCTGTTTACCTCAGTGTACTGTACAGATATTCTAATTTTCTGTGGATGCTATAATATGAAAGTTGCAAAGCAATAGCCTAACAATGTTTTCATGTAGATCCCCAACCCTGTTCAAACACTGAAATAAAAATTCTACTACCTTAAGCACACTTAGCAGTTTTGCTCTTGGTGCCTTCTGTTTCTTTAAGAAGTTGTATAAGTAGATATGGGCATTTGGATTTGATGGAAACTTTTCATCATATGCGTAATTGGTAAGTACTTCTCGGGCTCCATCTTGATCTCCATAGAATTCCAGCATCTATATAAAATAAGTCATAATACCTTAGCTAAATTCTGTAAGATAGCTATACGAAAGATAACACATAGCTTCACTTTACTGATGGGTATAAAAACACCACAAAACAAAGAGTACTGTATAGGGAATAATAATGGTACTTTTTGCTTCCACCAGAATATTACCACACTTATGGAACACAGTAGATCACTTACAAACAAAGGTCTACATGGGTTCGCATTTTTTTCCTATGATTAATTTGTTACTGAAAAATGAAGCAAACTTCAACATAAGTACGGTTCCTATAAGAAATAAGAGTCCTAGACAGGCGTAGTGGCTCATGTCTGTAATCTCAGCTATTCAGGTAGAAGGATCACCTGGGCCCAGGAAGTCAAGGCTATGGTGAGCTGTGATAATGCCACTGTACTCCAGCCTGGGAGACAGAGTGAGATGTTGTCTCAAAAAAAAAAAAGTCCTTAACACAGGGCACATTAACAACTGAAAATGTGAGGCAACTAGCCTCAGCATCCCACATAACTTCAGTCATAAAAAGAATGCATGAAAATTATAGTTCCTTTCGTTCCATTTCCATCCTTACACAGGAATTCCCAGATTCATTGGAATATGGTTTTGGATTTATCTTCTGACAACACAGTTATCATGTTAGCATTCATTAACTTTCACAAAGCAAATTATTTTGAAGATTTACTCCCGGTGCCCAATGCCAAGGCCCTCAGTTCTTTTACAATGACTCTGGGATGACAAAACATTCTTATGAACTTCTGAAAAGTCATTATTCTCCATCTCATATATTATGACCTACTTACAGATTTTTGTCCTCTTTCCTACTGCATCCTACCAAACCATATAAGATCCTCCTGCTTTTCTTTTATGCTCAACAAGAATAAGACTGAATTGACATGTACAACTATACTGCTATTTCTTTTACAGATATCTGGTCATGACAGGTTATCCAGTAGTGAAAATAAACAGTGAACATTTATAGTATACTAATAAAATAAACAGAAACTATTCAGACCAAAAAGGAACATCATATTTTAAATGTTTTTTTAAACAATTTTCTCCATGAATTTCCTTCTGATCAATAAAGATTTAGGCACACATTCTTTACATCGTTTTATGACAAAATGAAACAAATAAACTTTATGAAAATTCTACTTACCTCTACATAACTCTTCACAAAAGGGTCCCAAACCCCAGGAATTTTAATCAATCCACTAATATTTACAGATGTCTTCCAGGTGTGGCTGAGCATATTTTGGGCTGCTGTGCTGTAAGCATAGTCATCCTTATCTGCCCAAAAAGAAAAGAAATTTAAGTCATTCGGTATCGAGGATTTAAATCAACAAAATACTAACAAGGTTCAGCAACACATAAAAAGGATTATCCTTTTTATGCCCAAGCAGTATCTTCTGAAATGGAAGGCTGGCTTAACATCTGAAAAACAATTAATGCAAATAACAGAATAGAGATGTATTGATCTAAACCAAATTAACAGAATAAAGGACAGAAACCACATGATCATCACAATGGATGCAGAAAAAAGCATTTGAAAAAATTCAGTAACCATACGTGATTAAAACATCAACAATTTAGGAATAGAAGGAATTTCCTCAATCTAATAAAGGGCATGTCTGAAATACCCCTAGCTAACATCAAATTTAATGACAAAAGATAGCATGCATTCCTCTTAAAAATCAGGAACATGACAAAAATGCCCTCTCACTACTTCTATTCATTATATTGGAAGTTCCAGTCAGAACAATCAAGAAAATAACATAAAAGACATCCAGATTGGAAAACAAGAAGTAAAACTATTTCTATTTGTAGATGACATGATATTATACAAAGAAAACCCTAAAAATCCATTAAAAACTTATTAGAACTAATAAATGATATCACCAAGGTTGCAGAGCACAAGATCAATAAACAATAATCAGTTGTATGCCAATACACTTGCAATGAACAATCAGAAAATAAAATTAGGAAAACAATGCCTTTGCAAAAGCATCAAAAACAATAAAATACTTAGGTATAAATTTTACAAAAGAGATGTACAGTAATGTTGTGGAATAAATTTTAAAAGACCTAAAAATGGAAAGACACCCCATGCTAATGGGTTGAAAGACTTACTACTGTTAAATTAATTTGTAGATACATGCAATTTCTATAAAAATTTCAGATGGCCTTATTGCATAAATTGACAATCTAATTCTATAATTCATATAAAAATGGAAGGACCAAGGAAGAACAAAGAATCTCTAAAAAGAAGAACAAAGTTGGAGAATGCACACTACAACTTCAAAAGTTACTACAAAGCTATTAGAATAAGACGATGTGATACAGGCATAAGGATAAACATATACAGATAAATGAAAGGGAATACACAGTCCAGAAATAAACCTCCACAATTACAGGTAACTAATTTTCAATAAAGGTGCCAAGACAATTAAGTGGGAAAATAGACTTTTCAATAAATGTGCTAGAACAACTGGGTATCCACATACAAGATAATGAAGCTGGGCCCCTACCTACTTCCCACCGTATACAAAAATTAACTCAAAACAAATCTAAGACCAAAACATAAAAGCTAAGACATTAAAACTCTCAGAAGAAGTGAAAATCTTTGTGACTTTGAAGTCAGCAATAGTTTGTTAGATAGGACACTAAAAGCACAAACAACAAAAGAAAAAAAGCTGGACTTATTCAAATTAAACACTTGTGTTCAAATGATACCATCAAGAAAGTGAAAAGGTGAAAATATTTCCAAATCATCTCTCTCATGTATATGGTAGGAGATTTCTGTCTAGAATATCCAAAGAACTCTTATAATTCAATAGTTAAAAAACAAGTAATTTAATTAAAATATGAAAAAAAGATCTGAATACAAATTTCTCCAAAAATGATATGCAAATGGCCCAGAAGCACATGAAAAGATGCTCAATATTGTTAGCCTCTAAGGAAATGCAAATTAAAACCACAAGATACCACTTCACACCCACTAGGATGATTATAATGAACTTAGATAATGACAAGGGTTGGCAATGATATGGAGAAATTAGTACCCTCATACACTACTAGTGGGAATATGAAAGGGTGCAGTAACTTTGGAAAACAGTCCAGTGATTCTTCAAAAGGATAAACATAAAGCTATATACAGCGACTTCACTCTTAGGTACACATTCAAAAGAAACAAAAACACATGTCCAAGCAAAAAATTGTACGTGAATGTTCATATCAACATTATTCAGCCAAGAAGTCTAAATAACCCAATTACCTACTAATGAATGGACATATAAAAGGTGGTATATCCTACGATGGATTATTCAATAATAGAAAGGAATGAAGGACTATTACATGCTACAATATTCAAAACATGCTTTGTCATAATTTTCTGGTAGAAAAAAATATTATGCTAAATGAAAGAAGCCATTCACAAAAGACCACATATTGGATGATTTCATTTTTATAAAATGTTCAGAATAAGCAAATCTCTAGAGACAGAAAGCTGCCTAGGACTGGAGGGATGAGGAGAAAAGGAGACTACAGGGTTTCTTTCTAGGGTGATGAAAATGTTCTAATATTGATTGTGATGATGGTTGCAACAATCTGTGAATATAATAAAACCACTGAATTGTATATTTTATGTGGGTGAATTTGTATAGTTATGTGAATTATATCTCAATTCTCAATAAAACTGTTTAAAGAAAATGAGAGACTATCATACCCACTAAATTGGCTAATATGAAAACTCTGACAATAACAAATGTGAAGTAGAATATAGTCAAAAGAAAACTGTAATCAAACTGCCAGTGGAATATAAATTGGGTACCCTCTTTGGAGAGAGTTTAGCATACTATATACTAAAGTTGATGATGCATATAACATACCCTATGACAACAATTCTACACCTAGAGATGAAAGCTTATGTGCACCAGTATACAGAAATTACAGGGGTTAATTTTAAAGCTGCATTATTTACAATATCCGCAAACAATAATAACCTGAATGGCCATCAATAATAGAAAGAATAGACAGTGTGACTATATTATAACAGTAAAAAGGAATAAACTAAAGCTACATCCAACAATATGTATGTATCTTAAAACCAATGTTGAAAAAAGTATGCAAGGCCCAAAAGAATATATATAGCATGAATCCAAACATTTAGATATAAGCAAAACTAAATTACATTGTTTACAAATGCATATATGAGTGAAAACAGTATCAACAAAAGCAAGGAAGTGATTACCATAAAAGTCAGGACAGTGATTTTCTTGACACGAAATGGGAAGAAGCATGATCAGGAAAGCACACATGAAGAACTTTAGGTCAGAGTGACAAAATGCTGTATTCCTTAATCTGGGTGATAGTTACATGGATGTTCGTTCTAACTTTATTCATTATATCTCACATTTGTTTTATATTCTTCTGGGTATACTTCTCAATCTTAAAAGGTTTACAAGGAAAGTTACTCCGTTTTTTGAAAGCAACAGCTAACAGAAGCAAAGACATCTCAAACCAAAGAGATTCCTTCCTCAGTTATCAATTAAATATATATCAATATGAACTTAGAAATGAGATAAGAAAAATAGATAAGAAATGATATGGAAAATATTTAAACTATAAAATAATATGGAAAATAGTAAAAATATTTAAAGAAAGAAAAGGGCAGATACCTAAGTATAAATTGGGTGTGAATTTACTATAGAGATTCCTGGTCACCAAGTGTATCAAACCCAACCAAGAGAGAAACAGCAGCAAGAAAAATATCCCAGGCTGACTCTGAGCACAAATTCACATGTTAAGTTCTTATGAATTTGGTTATAAAGAACTAGTCTTAACTTTTTATCTCATTAAATAGATATTGAGGCTAATAATCATCTATAGAGCTCTACATATTATCCCATTTTCATCTATGTTGCTACAAAACTGTCAGCTGCAAAAAGGTACTGAATCATCTATCCATAGAAGTGACAGTATAATGCCATGTTCCAACTGCTTTAATCATTAACTATTTTTTTGAGTTCTACCTAACCATGAGTAAGAGGAAAACTAAATATTGACTTTAAAACTCACCTAATCAGTTAATATCAACAAGCTTTTTTTTAATAAAAGAAAAGAAATATTACACCAGAAATCATGACAAACAGTACAGATATATGACACCAAAAGATTGATTACTCTAGATGGGAAGACATGAAAAAACTTTGAACAATTAAAAAACAAGAGATGAAGAGCCAAATGATATAGGCTGGACATGCAGTTGATATATTAAGTTTAGGTTTAAGGTGTAAAAATGAGGGGCTGGGGCAGGGTCTAATGAATCTTGAAGAGCAGAGAGCATTCTAGAGAAGACTCCACAAAGACCTCACAAGATTATCATGATGAAGATAGTATTTCAGAAGTATCCTGAAAAAAGAGGGAAGAGAAGTGAGATTAGTGAATCTACATGGCCAGAGACCAAGGAAATACCACTTATCACATGAAGATAATGAGAAAATACTGCTTACTACATATAATGTAATAAGAATCAGGACTAAGATTTGTATGGAAAGTGTGAAAACCGAAAAGGCTTGATCCTAGAGAGGCTATGGAGAAAAACTATACAAATAAAAGAAAAATACAGAAAATCATATCCCTCCAAAGAATGCAAATTGGCATAAATGAGGATGACAACATCACTGAAAGTTTAAAAAGTGTAATGCAGTTTGAGAACTGAGTGGTCAACTTTTGGTCTGGTCAAAAAAAAAAAAAATCCAAAAAATTGTCTGTTAAAACTTTTGTACAAAAATAACTTTATCTTGCCCTATTCTTTAAACACATTATTCTGAGAAACAACAATATAAAACAAATTAAACTCCATTCTAAACACACGAGAAGAAAAGTTTATTATATGTAACAATGGCTGCTGAAGAAAATCTATAACCTTTCTTAGAAAATGACAAAGATTATCTTCTTGACCAAACTCCCACCAAGCTCCTTTGGGCCTTCATCTGGACTAAGCCTCAACCTTAGCCTATAAAGGTTTGAACAAACACTAACAGTTTCTAAGAGCTCAAGGCTCCTTCTCTAGGATGACCCTACCCGTTGCATCCCGAAGTACCTGCCTGAGAAAACAAGGCTGCCAGAAGAATTTACTGTTAGTTCAAGCCAACACCCCTATCTTCCAATCTGTGTGAGTGGGCAGGAGCCTACCTTCCATAAGCACCAATGAGTAAACACAAATGGGTTTCACAAGAACCAACTCCTTTTCTGCTTTTTGTAACTTTTCATTTCCCTGGCTACCGCCATTCTCCCTTTGAAACACAGTCCCCTCTGTACAAACAGGACTGGAGATTAGCTCTTTCCCCCACTGTCACTAGTTACTGAATAAAATCTGTTTTCACTGTCCTAATGTCTGGTTGTGTTTCTCTTTGACAAAATCACTTTTTAAAAAAGCAATAAATCTAAAACAATCATGACCTTAATTATGAACCATCTAATTCACGACTGAAAAATTTTCTGATATATCAGATATATTAAAAAGGATGATCAAGAATTTTAAATCAATCAAGTATCTGTTCTCTGTAATATCTGGAAGAAGTCAGCAAGGGGATTACTAGATTACTCCTTCAGATCCTTCTGCCTTCACATAAATTTCTGTATTGTCATCACCAGGGAGAATAAGGGCCAGCTGGAAGCCAGAACTTCACCTGCATGCATCTTACTATGTAGTAAATCCTAACTTGTACCCCATAACTCTAAATAAATAAACAAACAAATAAAAAGATCCATCCGCTTTCAGCCTCATCATCACAAAAAAAATTTACTTATATTTACTCACCAAGTTTTGAAAATTCCTCCTTTTTCTTTGACCAAGTATAATACTGCAAAAGACCTTTATAGGCCTGAATAAAGTTAATTAATATTTCCCGGGAAGAGGACTTTTCACCATATCTCCATGTCTCTGCCTCACTCAGATGTCTCTTTGCATCCTCAAGCATTCCATGATGCAGAAGATATAATGCATGTTGTAAAGAAATCTATAAAAATAATAAGAAAAAGCCCACTGACATTTAAGTCATCTGATAACCACTATTCAAAAAGTTCAGTAAATATATGCTGGACTAAGGCCTTGTTAGGATACAAATGTGACATTGTCCCTGACATCAAAATTTTTAATCTAGCAAAAAGGAAAAATACATGAAACAATTAACCCTATGTTAATAAGAGCTGAATTATGTAAACTCAAGTAACACGGTGTGATATAGTGAAAAAAACAAGAGCTTTGAAGACAATGTCCGGGTTCATATGCCACTTAAAAGCTAAGTAAAACTGGGTAAATTCACCCTTGTGAGTGTCATCTGTTACGTGAACCAATTATTATTAACACTTCAGAAGGATGTTTTGAGGATTAAATGAGATGATATTTGCATACCATCTAATGCCTAGTTTGCCCAATAAATACAACCATTTTATATGCGTTATATAAACTCAGTGAAAACATCTTAATAAAGATTATTGAAGAATGGCCTTGGTTCAGATGGAAAGGAATGTGTATCTCTGATATAAGAGAAGTAAAAAGAAAAATTATACAAAGAATGAGCATTCTTTGTACAAGAAGGGAGGATATTATAGAGGAGAATAATGAAAAGTACAATTAATCAATATGGGTAGAGCCAGATCATAGAATTTAAGATCCTCATCTTAAAGCATTGCAATAATTTCTCAACTGGTCTCTGCATTCCTGCCCCCCTAAAAACCATCTTTCAAGTGGCTACCAAAGAAATCTCGTTAGTCATGTGTATAAAATCCTTCAGTGGCTCCCACTGTCCATACAATAAAATCCAGACTCCTTAGGTTTGGCACACAGGGCCCAATCTATTTCATTTCTCCTGGCTTGCTTCACAATCACACAAGTGATTTTTAGAGTTACTAACATATCAAATACAGGGCTGTCAAACTCTTTATTATTCTCACCATGCTAGACTATCCTTTTCCCAATCTGCCTAGTGAACACCCACTAGCTTTTCCAAACTCATCTCAAATATCACTTCCTTTCTTTTTCTGACTTCCCAACGCATTAAATCCCACTGCTCTCCAATTCCAGAGAACTGGCCGTTTTCTCCTTTATTTTCTCAAATGTTGCATACCTACTAGGGTATCTATAACACTGCGTTCCATTTACATGTTAGTATCCCTCTACTGCAAACCACATTTAGCGCATTACCTAGAAAACAGCAATATGTGTTTTTAAAAATATTTACAATAAAAAATGTTTTAAGGTCTATCCTAATTATCACCTTCAGACTCTGGAGTGAGAAATGAATTTCCCTTCCAGCTTCTTTACTTCAACTGAGTAGATTCTATGAGCCAAAAGAAGCCTAACCAACAGTTTAGTAGAAACCTAGCCAACAGTTTAGTTGAAATTCCACATTCCCTTCCCAATCAAAAAATGGCTTTCCAGGTTCTATCTAAAATAAGATATGTGGAGCACACAACATCAATACAGGTCATTCCTTTTTCCAATTGTTCAGTTAGAAAGCTCTTCCTTAAGTGGAACCATAGCTGCCTCCATTGAATTTCCACTCTCAGTATACCTGGTCTGCCGAGAACAAGATCATAAAAGAGGATCTGATCTAAAATGAATCCTAAACAGGGGAAATCTGTTTTCAAAATCAGAAAGCAGTGAGAATGTAAAATGGTGCAGCCACTGTAGAAATCAGTTCGGCGATTCTTAAAAATGTTAAGAATAGAACTGTGTGGTGTGTGTGTGTGTGCGCGCGTGTGTGTGTGTGTAAAACAATCCAGCAATTCTACTCCCAAGCATATACTCAAAGGAACTGAAAACAGGGACTCAAACAGATATCTGCACACCAGTGTTCATTGAAGCATGACTCACAATAGCCACAAAGTAAAAACAACTCAACAGATACATGGATAAGCAAAACGTGATATACAATAGATTATTCAGTCATAAAAAGGAATAAAGTTCCAATACAGGCCACAACATAGATAAATCTTGAAAACATCAAGCTAAGTGAAATAAAGTCAGATACAAAAGGACAATTATTGTATGATTTCACTATCTACATGAAATAACTACAATATGTAAATTCATGTAGATAGAAAATAGATTATAGATTACCAGGGGCTGAGGAGAAGAGGGAATGGAGAGTTACAGTTTAATTAGTATGAAGTTTCTGTTTGGGGTTAAAGGAAAAGCTTTGGAAACAGTGGTGGTGATGGTACAACACTGTGAATATAATTAATACCACTCAATTATACATTTAAAAATGGTTAAAATAGCATCTTTTATGCTATCTATATTTTACCACAATAAAATATGGAAAACAGAAAAAATAAAAATCAAGAGCCAGAGAGTAAATATTTTAGACTCTGCAAGCCATATGGTTTGTCACAATTTTCACCTCTATAATTGTCATGCAAAAGCAGCTACTGACAACATGGAAATGAATGAGTATGGCTTGCGTTCCAATAAAACTTTACGGTCATTAAAAAATACATACATATTTTGGAATGTCTCAATACTTTTGGACAAGTCTTTTATTTAAAAATATATGAATTTGGAGAGAAGACTTCACCTAAATATTAGGAACATTAAAACATGTTCACATATCAAATCCTCATCTTGTTTAGTTCTTTCCTTTGTTCAAAAACACCAATTCTAAGTCAGGCACAGTGGGCTCATGGCTGTAATCCCAGCACTCTGGGAGGCCAAGGTGGGAGGACTGCTTGAGTCCAGCAGTATAAGACCAGCCTAGGTAACATAATGAGATTTTGTCTCTACAAGTAAAATAAAAATAATAGTCAGGAGTAGTGATGCACGTCTTTAGTCCCAGCTACTCAGGAGACTGAGGCAGAAGGATCACTTGAGCCCAGGAGGTCAAGGCGGCAGTGAGCCGTGATCATGACACCACACTCCAGTCTAAGTGACAGAGTAAGACACCAACTCAAAAAAAGAAAACCAAAAACATCAACTCTAAGCTTCTTACTTATCCAGATGTCTTATCCTTCTCTCATGCTTTTTACATTATTATCTACCTTATCATTAGTAATTTAAGGAAATGAACATTACAAATGTAAATTAACAAAGCCTATATTCTCACCTTTAAATAATTCATGACACCAATATTTTTCATCCGGTCAGCAAAAGCACTGAAAGCCTCCACGTTGCTTTTGGGATGATAAAATAGAATTTCACTTCCAAGCCGCCAAATAATCTGTCAAAGCAGAAATCACTACCAAAATGTAAAATTCTTGCCTTAAACAATTTCTGCCTAAGGAAGTTATTACTTTTTCTGATTATAACATTAATAAACAACTTTTAATTCCTTTTCCTAGAGATTACTACTGTCAACATTTAACTATTCTTTACTCAATAAGATATTACATCCTTTATAATATTTTCAATCTTTTAAATATTATTAAAGTATCAGGTAAGTAGCCTAGGGAATATAACGAGACCTCATCTCTACCAAAAAAAAAATTAGCCAGGTGTGGTGGCATGTGCCTGTAGACTCAGTTACTCAGGGGGCTGAGGCAAAAGAATCCTTTGAGTCCAGGAGTTCAAGGATTGAGTAAGCCATGATTGTGCCACTGCACTCCAGCCTGAGAGACAGAGTAAGACTATGATGCAAAAAAAAAAAATCAGATAAGTATAATAGTGCCATTATTCACACTTGTAATCCTAGAACTTTGGTAGGCTGAGGTGGAGGTGGGAGGATTGCTTGAGCCCAGAAGTTTGAAAAAAACCTGGGTAACATAGCAAGACCCCATCTTTACAAAAAAAAAAAAAAACCCACAAAAATTAGCCAGGCATGGTGGCACGTGCCTGTAGTCCCAGCTACCTGGGAGGCTGAAGGGGAAGAATTATTTGAGTCCAAGAGGTAGAGGCTGTAGTAAGTCATGATTGTGCTACTACACTCTAGCCTGGATGACAGAGCAAGACCCTCAAAAAAAAAAAAGAAAAGAAAGAAAGGAAAGTATAATAGTACCACTATTAAGTTAGTAGTCTAAAGAAGGTAGAGAGTTAAAATACATATTGAATATCAATTTTTAATTAGCATAAGAGGAAAAATATTAATGTCAGATAATTGGGTTCTGGTAACACTGCGTTCTTTTTAGCCTCATCTTTATCATCTACAAAATGCAGGCAAGCCATATGTTTCCTGAGAGTCCACCAAACTCTACAAATATTGACTATATTGAGGATGCAAGCTGAAGAATTTTCAACAGCTATGGACAAATTTTAATAAAAAAATTTTCTCAGATCATCAAAACTTTGGTAACAGAATCTGGCACTCTTCCTTTTTCATGGGAGTAATTGTGTAATTCCCTTACTCCAATTTAAAGTACTTGTAATCCCGTGCCTTTGGGAGGCTGAGGTGAGTGGACTGTCTGAGCCCGCGGGCTAGAGACCCGCCTGGGCAACTTGGCGAAACCTCATCTCTACAATAAATCAAAAAATCAGCTGGGCGTGTAGCGCATGCCTGTAATTCCGGCTACTCAGAAGGCTGAGGCGGAAGGATAGCCGGAGCCCATCAGGCAAGGCTGCGGTGGCCAGGAGCGGCCACTGCACTCCAGTCTGGGTGACAGAGTGAGACTCCAACTCAAAACAAAACAAAACAAAACAATATCAACTTTAAATTAAAGTAAACTTCCAATCAATTTTTTTTCTAATAACATACACACTAGTTGCATATGCATACACATATATATATACTATCACTGGTATAATGATATATACATAATATTATTTGATATAATGATAATATTCATCTTTCCAACTCAGAGACATCAAGATTTCATTTGTAGAATATCAAACCATAGTATTTGGGAGTTTAAAGAAAACTAGATATTATCACAGTTGTCCTTAAGCCCAGTTAAATATAAGAATCACCTGGAAACCTATTAGATAAATGTTCTAAATATTCAGACTGAATCAGTAGGACTGGGGTGCCATACAGGAATCTACATGTTCAACAAAAGCCCCAGGTGATTCAAATAGAGCCAAACAAGTGTGCAAAAACTCTGATCCAATTCCTTCATTTTACAAAACAAAACCTGGACAGAAAGAACCTTGTCCAATGTCTTACTGAAGTATATAACTTTAGTTCATAAACTAAATTTTCAATCAGTGCTTAAACCTTTTTCTTTCAGAATTTTTTCCCTATTAGATAAGCAACTGATGCAATGGCTACTGTATTAGTAAAAAGCTATTTCAGATACTCATATAAAGTTATTTGTGGATAAACTTTCACTGAACAAACTTAACAGTATATGCTAACCATTATTTTATCCCTGTCCTGAGAAACTTACATTCTATGTGGAGAGAGAGACAATAATCAAGAAACACAACAATTACATTGTCAACTGTTATGGGACAGAGAAGTAATGCAGCTGCAATTTAAATAGTCAAGGTAGGCCTCATAAAAAAGGGGCCCTGAAGGAGAATAGCCACAGTAATGGCTGAGGAAAGATCTTTATAAATAAAGGAAAAAGTCAAGGCAATCAGGTAGGAGTATGCCTGGCCCACTCAGGTAAGAACAAAGAGGCCAGTGAAGCTGGAGAAGAGAAAACCAGTGAGAAAGTACAGGCTGAGTATTCTTTATCCAAAATGCTTTAGGAACAGAAGTGTTTCAGATTTGGGATTTTTAAAAATATCTGCATACACATGAGATTAGGGATGGGACCAAAGTCAAAACACAAAATTCACTTAAGTTTCATCTACACTTACACACATAGCCTGAAGGTAATTTTATACAATATTTTTAATAATTTTATGCATGAAAGAGAAGTTGTATATACTAAATCATCAGAAAGCAAAGATGTCACTGTATCATGTCAGCACTCAAAAAGTTTTGGACTTCACAGCATGTCAGATTTCAGATTTTTGGATTAGGGATGTTCAACCTATAACAGATGAGTTAGAAAGGTCAAAAGTTTGAGAGTAAGCGCATCTTACAAGATTGTGTGTGTAGGGCAATTTATGAGGACTCTGGCTGAAAGGAGTGACATGATCTGATTCATGTTTTAAAAGGCTCACTCTGTATTATTAGTCAGTAGGAAAATGCAAATTATAACCAGGACAAGACACCACTTCATAACCACAAGGATGACTATAATCAAAAATACAGAAAATAACAAATGTTGGCAAGAATGTAGAAAAGTCACAACCATCAAATATTGGAGACATAAATAGTGTGGATACTTTGGAAAATAGTGTGGCAGTTCCTCAAGAAGTTAAACACAGAGTTATCAAATGAACCAAGAACTCCATGCCTAAATAGAGAAATTAAAACAAACTCCCACACAAAACTTCCACGCAAATGTTCATAGAAACATTATTCATAATAACCAAAAAAGTGGAAACAATCCAAACGTCTAAACAACTGATGAATGAATACATAAAGCACGGTATGTCCATATAATTGAATATTTCCTGGCAATAAAAATGCTACAACATGGATAAACCTTGAAAACAATACACTAAGTAAAAGAGGCAGAAGCCATTGACCAAAACAGAACACATACTGTGTGACTCCATTTATATGACATGCCCTAAACAGAAGATTAGTAGCTGCCAGAGTCTGGCAGCTGGGGGGAGGGATAGGGAAAAGACTGCAAGTGGATACAGGGTTTGTTTTGCGGGGATAAAAACATTCTAAGTTTAGAATGTGGTAAAGGTCGCATAACACTGCAAATATATGAAAAAATACTGCACTGTGCAATTTAAATGAGTGAATTGCACGGTGTGTTAATTATCTCTCAATAAAACAAACAAAAACTCAACAGGATCACTCTGGTTGGAGAAAGAAAATTATCCCATCAATTGTTTTGCTGAAAGAAAAATGTAAAAAATAGGGCATAGACTATGGAGAAAATGGGCATCAAGAGATGATTTTAAGATAAAAGAAATAACACAATATATGATGATGGGAAATCTCCCATAAAAATGGGAAAATAATGACACAGGGAAAAGGAAGAAATATTAAAATGAATGAATGAATATTGAGGAACCTAAAAAATTCAAACTATTTTTAGTTCCTTTAAAATAATAATAGAGAAAGTGTGCAAAAAGTGTCCCAATACAAACTCTCTACCCAAAATTACTTTTAGCAAAATCAGTTTGAGATTCTAAAACTATTGTGGGTGGAGCAGGAGGCAGAAGCTCCTGGGAACTTATGATGTCTTCCAGCAGACTCCCACTTTGTTTACCTCAGGTGCAGCTTGCCTTTTGTGGCTATCTGAATCCTCCAAGGTCTGAAAATAACTGTGCATGTATTCTGCAGCTTTCTGCCATTGGTGCTTCAGCAGAGCTTCTTGGATTAAACTTAAACAGGCACTCGTTGTCTGAGCAAAATCCTTCTTCCTTTTCCCTCCAATGGCTATAAAGACAGAAAGAGAAGAGTCTTTACCCAGTGACTCCAATTCAACTACTCAAACAACTAATAAGCAATTTTAACAAGTAAACAGGAGGTATTCAAGTGTCAGCTTCACTTGAAACAAACTCTTGAAACAAACTCTTCCATACCATTTCAACTATGTTTAGCAAATTCTTTAAAATCTGTAATTTGATGTCCTTGGCTATGAGAGCCACCAGATTCTTCAAATCCAATTCAATCATCCTTTAATCCTTACACTAAACAATTTGAGGAGAATCTCTCAAGGAGGCCCCCCAGGAAGCACAGTCCCAGGTATTTAGAATGAATAAAAACCACCAGGGTCATCCTAGGCGTGGTCCTTATAACCCACCAATGTTCTGAAAACTCCAAGTGGGCTTTTATTTTTTAAGGATCAAGTTCCTAGTAACTCAATAATATTAAATACAAATGAGATTACAACAGTTGTAGATATAAGCATTTATATCTAAAATTTGAAGTTCCCATGTTAATAAGACATTTGGGTTTATTTACAGCCTCATTACATGAGTGACCAGTGGCAATGCTGCCTCCTCCTCTTTTCCCACCACTACCAGACCCCTCAAGGCAAGCTGGGCACCCTTATCGTTTCAAGTACACAAAGACCAATAGGCACTTTGTAAAGATATTTTTAAAACAATCAACTTGCAGATCAGTGGCTTCCTTATTTACTATTTCCTAAAATTATTCTCTTAGAGAGTTGTGCCTACAGTAAAGGCTTCACAATCAAAACCATTACATATTACCTGAAGGTGAAAATACAGGTGTTAAATAAGCAAGTGATTCTAACATCTCCTTTTGCAAGTTAGGTGATCCCCAATTCTTTGCTTACCAAAACTGCAGAACATCATTTTTTTAATAATAGATCATTATGTAATTTGTCATGGATAATTTAGAAAAAGTTCAAGAACCTGATGATACACAGCTATAATTAAATTCCATTCACTGCAAGCTACTTATGTGACTGAGGTTTCACAGAATTTATGTCAATTAAAACAAAATACAATAGAAGTAATGTTCTTTTCTCATTCTAGAAATATATGTCACCTATAAATATATGAAATAAATGGGAAAAAAATGATAGATAAAAGTTATTTACTTTACTGAGGTAAAAATCAAATTTTTATTTGTTAAAATTTAACAACATTTTAATACATATGTTATTTGGTCAGCTTTGTACCACCGTTAATTATGATGATGTCTCAACCCAGAAGAAATCTTAGTTCTTAAAAATTTACAGGATATTAACAAAAAAAGAGAACAATATAAAATGTCCAGCTAACATGAAATTTTTGCCTCAATATAAAATTTTTTAATTGTTCTTTTTTTTTTTTTTGAGTAGGAGTCTCACTCTATTGCCCAAGCTGGAGTGCGTGGCACACTCACGACCACCGCACCCTTGACCTGCTGGACTCAGGTGCTCCTTCTGCTTCAGTCTTCCAAGTAGTTGGAACCATAGGTGTGTGCCACCATACCTGGCTAATTTTTTATTTATTGTAGAAATGAGGTCTTGCCAAGTTGCTCAGGTGGGTCTCGAACCCATGGGCTCAGGCAATTCTCTCACCTCTGCCTCCCAAAGTGCTGGGATTACAGGCGTGAGCCACTACGCCTGGCCAAAATTTTCATATTTTTAAAAATGGATAATGAAAGGTTTTACATCCCTATACCACTTAGATTCCACATTTTTTAAAGAAATATAATAATTTCATTTTTAAATGCCACCATGTGCTGAAAATTATATCTCTATTAAACTTACAATAAAATTCTTAGGTGGTACCTTAAAACTACACAAGATATTACACAATTTTTCAAAAAAAAAAAAAAAATAGGTGATAAGTGAAAAAGTTTAAAGATACTGCTCTAAACTAATGTGCTCAGACTTTTTTAATGTACATACAAATGAGATGGAGATCTCAATCCTTGCTACGCATTGTGGTTCTAGAACTAGCACCATTAGTATCGCCTGGAAGCTTATTCGAAATGCATGATACTATGCCCCACACAGTTCCCTGAATCAAGTTGCTCAGAATTAGCAGCAATATCAGGCAGCGACCCTAGGGAACTGACAAAACTTCTCATCCTTAAAACATCTTTTACTCACCTAAAGGACAGTTCTCAGGCTAAGCTCCCTTCTACCTCTTAAGTTTTCACTTTAGACAACTGTATCTAAATCCTTGTCTTCCAATTTAGCCTAGTTATCTCAGGAAAATCTCTTCTCTCATTTCATTCTTTAGTGAGCAAAAGATAATCTTCCTTGTTGCTGAAAACTTTAAGAATAAAAATTGTCAAGGAAAATAAATGTTTACATGGAAGGAGATGTACAATAAAGACCAATGTCAGGCAGGTGCGATGGCTCATGCCTGCAATACTCGCATTTTGGAAGGCTAAGGTGGAAGGAATGCCTGAGTCCAGGAGTCTAAGACCTCATCCCTATGTAAAAGAAAAAATGTAAAAAAGAAATAAACTTTTAAAAAAGAGCCAATGTCATCAACCTAACTTTTATGCCTCCAAAAGAATGTGGAAACTTGTCAGTCTGTCAACAAATATTTTTTGGGCACTACTGTGTGCCAAGCACTATTCTAGGTTCTCAGCACACAGTTTTAATCCAGACTGGCCCTGTCTTCAAAGTCTTTATTCTAAGGGGCCTGCCTTCAAAATGCCAAAAGACACCAGAATTTAAAACAAAATACAGTAAGAGTTAGGCAATTTTGTTTTCCTATTATGGCTAATTACCAGTACAATGTCAATTACTTGCAAGTATTTTCTCATTGCATACAGAAACCATTTTGGGTTTAACAGGTTACCTTGTACATATGAAATATTTCTAAGGATGTACATTCTGTTCTTACATGTATTTGCTTGCAGACTGAATCAAGCTCTCTATGGGACACTAGTGACAGAAACATACCCAAGTATAACTTAACTAGCAGGAAATTTAGATTACTAGTTGCCTATAAGGGGTGAAGTAGCACTACCTCTGAAGTACCATTCATTCAAATCTGGCTTAAGCCATGTATGTTAATCTAGAAAAAATAAAATGAGGAAAGAAAAAGAATTATTATTTGTCAACACTCACTATGCATGATATGTACTTTACATATATTATCTCATTTTTCAAATATATCTCTGGTTAAAAGTATAGACTTTAAGATCAGATCGACCTAAGTTTGACTCCTGATACCACCACTTAGAATTTAACTTGAGATTGTTTCCTCATATCTAAAATGCCTAGCACATAGATTTCCCGAGGATTAATTTATTGAGGTCATTAAATGAAATGAAACTCAGATTTTTTTAAAAAATGGAAGCTAAATTCTGAGAACCAAGGAATATGCCAAGGGGGGAGAGGGTTGGGCTAAGAAAAATGTGTATGAGGACAATAAGAAGTGCTGGTTCAAATGTATTCCTAGGATTACACCACCCAACATGGCAGCACACAATAACTTCTTTTATATATTCTTATATCCATATAATTTATGAATTTACACCACAGAAAAACTTGTTTGTTAGATATACATTGATAAAAAAGGAAGGAAATAAACTCTTTTTTAGAATTCTATTACACAATCTATACTGTTAAGAATAATTTCAATGCAATTCAGCAGAAACTTCTTGAACACTTCCTCTAGGTATGTTCTCCTCAACAGTGGAGACCATATCTTCTTCATCTTTGAATTCCCATTATTTACCCAATGCCAGAGATGAAATGACTTGCAAGTATTGCTGGGAAAAAAAATGTATCTACCATACAGACGATTATTAATTGAAGAGCAAAAAAATTCTAAAAGAAAAGGAAATATATTTCTTATTATTTTTTTGCATAAATCCTAAAGAAAAAAAACCTCACATATTCCTATCTTGAAAATTAAACCAGCTTTGTTATTCATTTTGTATCCATACTGAATCCTACTACCTTCTTGCAATGAAGTTAAAATGGTTCCGTGTTATTTTACTTACCCACAGATTCTATGTAATTTTGAAGCCAAGGAAAATGCATTCCTGTACCAGAGAGCACAGATTTGTCCACATGCTCATCATCTGTCACAGGTTTTGTTGATTCTTCACTGGAATCACTCATACCTATTACAAACTGAGAGTATCAGTTACTTTTTGTCTATCTTAACCCACAGGCTTCTGAGCTGTACAGAAAAACAGCCATCTTTTTATCTCATAACTATCATTTGATCAGCAAAATTCTTTATAACTGGTAGCTCTTTTAAAGTAAAAAATGAAATTAATTATGTCAGCAACAGACAAAATGAACGACCCATTCAGAAAAGACAGAACCACTGTTTCAAGTTCATACAAAAATAAATGATACTGCCCATCTAAATTTAAAGAAAACCCTCAAGTCTAGAATAAGAAACAGCAAAACGCATAACAAAATAATATAACAAACACAATAATAAAAAATAGCAGCAACTAGTATTTATTAGGCCCTATGTTCTAGGCATATAAACTATCTAATTTAATCCCTACATCAATCCGAAAGTGGGTAACGTTACTTTCTTCCATGTTCATGTTGAAAAAACTGAGGGCCTTAGTGAAATTATATAATCTGCCTAACGTCACAAAAAAAGGTGAGAAAAATATTCTAAAAGGTGAGGACAATAACCTCGGAAACTCAACACCAAACTACTTGGCAGGACTAGGATTCGGGGCGTGTGCGGAGGGAGGTGAAAGGCAGTTCGACCTGACGGTGGGACACGAACCAAGAAAGTCAAATGCTAAACCGAGTTTGGACTTTACCCTCACGATGCTCAGGGCTCCTCTCCCTCGCTCCCACACACAAAATCGAGGGTTAGTGCCGTTGATACTATCTTCTAGAATTTCTCAAATGTCCCTTCTCTGCAATCCAACAGCACTTCCTTCAGAACACCTTCACACTGTGTCTAGAGCACTCCAGAGTAACTTTCTAGTTACTCTGCCTCAGACTGTGCTTCTCCGCGTTACAGTGGGGGTAAACGCTTTAAAATCATATTCTAAGGTCAGGTTCATGAATCTAAAACAACAGCTGGATATGAAACCCATTCGCCAGGTATTTTGAGAAGTCTTTTTACACAGCCAACCTTCCCAAATGCTCCAAGGCCCAAGCCGGCGTCAGACAGTTGCCTCGGTAACCAAAGCTTCTCCGCCCTCTGGTTCTTAGAAACCAGTTTCAGGAGAAAGTATCAGGAGAACACAAATTCATGCTAGTATAACCCTCCCGTTCCATTTAAACGCAGGAACCCTGGATGACAGCCGCAACACTTACCTGGAGCTTCTCTGAAAAATTCAAAACCCAGTCTCGCGACTCCGGAACACGTGAAGAATCCTTACCGGAAGCAGAGTTTGCGAGCGCTTTGTATGAGCATGCGCAAAACCTGCCGTGGGCGTTCCGGCGGCGCACTGACTCAGCTCCGACCCAATGCCTCCTTCGCCGGCAGTGATGTGATTAGCTTCGCCTCGACCCCCGGAAGTGAATTTCGGAGGCGACCCGGAAGTGACTGTAGACGACTTTGCTCCCATTGCTTTGCCCGGAATTTACCTTTTAGTTTGTCTCAGCTGGCAAGTGGGAGCCTTTCATTACTAAAGGGGGAAGGGTCGGCGGCTGGACGAAGGGAGCAGTTAAAACGGCAAAGTGTCAGTTTACCCGAGGAAGTTATTGTACGACGAGCCTTCGGTTTCTGGTCGGCTCACGGGCGCTCTGCGCGAGTGGAGGTGTGGCTGGTGGCTCTGACAAGATAATTTAATTGCTTCCTTGAAAATGCTTTTCTCTTTTATTACAATTTTTTTTTTTTAAGAAAACAGGAGTTTATTAAGAAGACAGAAAAACTCCCACAATTGGAAGGGACCCGAAAGAGGGTTACCCAAGTACAATTTTGGTTTTGAATTTAGTTGACTGCCTTCTTCACAATTTAGGCAAGAATCTCTTTTTTCTTTTGTTCTGTGGACCCGTCTGGTGTCAACTTTCATGAAGGACATTGACAAACGTATATGAAATAGGGGTCGAAAGTAAAATGGTCAAACCATGTGAAATGAGGGACTGTTGAGGAGTTCTAGGGAAGATGACTATAGAAAAGGGTAAGAGACTCCTGGAAACACATTTCTTTTCAGTATTTGGAGGGCTGATCTTTAAAATAAGGGTCAGACTCTTTCCATATCATCAGAGCAGAACCAGGACCAGTAAATGAAAGCTAAAGGGAAACTGCTGTAAAGTCATTGCAAGAAAGAATTTTGTTCACAAATAAGGCTGCACAAATAATAGCATAGGCTCCCCAGGATTCTCTGAGTTTCCTCCCTGAGAGTGAACCATTTAAGTAGAATAGAGGATCAGAGGAGCGGTTTAAGGGTCTAGTGACGAGTACTTGTACATGGGTTTCTTAAAATACTATTAATATTTGATTCTATATGGTCTTCATAAAAGATATGTAGTAGTTATGGGCTTGCAAGGATTGTTCCTTCTGCTGCTCTTTGTGTCATTAGTTCTTGCCCTCACTTAAGTCTGTGAAGCTTAACTCTACAAGGAGGGCACACACGACATACATAAGTCATTAGCTTCTGGTCTACAAGTGTAGTCTGGCTACATTTCTCTCATTAGCATGAGGTATAAATTCACCAAAACCCCCGGGCTCGGTGGCTCAGCCTGTAATCCCGTGCCTTTGGGAGGCTGAAGTGAGTGGATTGCCTGAGCCCTCGGGTTCGAGACCGCCCGGGCAGGCGAGACCTCATCTCTACAGTAAAATCAAGAAATTAGCCGGGCGTGGTAGCGCGTGCCTGTAATTCCGGCTACTCGGAAGGCTGAGGCGGAAGGATTGCCGGAGCCCAGCAGGTCGAGGCTGCGGTGGCCAGGAGCGGCCACTGCATTCCAGTCTGGGCAACAGAGTGAGACTCCAACTCAAAAAAAAAAAAAATTCACCAAAACCAATCCAGAAACAATTTTATATGGCTAAAAGTTTATGCTCGTGAAAATGGGGAAGCATTTTCTGATTTTCCTTGAAGTTCTCAAACAACCTCTAGGCATCAGTAGATAGCAGCAGGAAAGTTAAGAACTAATATCTTTATGTGACCGGTCTACCACGTGTCTTTCCCATGGTACAATTCTGTAGAAAATATGGGAGAAGAAAGGTTTAAAAAAAAAAAAAAAAAAGGGCTATACCGCGTCACATCTAATACCATAGCAAGATTAGAAGAAGAGGAGGTAAGAGTAGAAGGAGGAGGAAGAGAAGGAGAGAGGGAAGGACAGGGGAGGGGAGGGAGCAGAGCCAGGCATGGTAGTGAGTAACGGTAGTCTCAGCTACTCGGAAGGCTGAGCAGGAGGATAGCTGAGCCCAGGGGTTCAAGACCAGCCTGAGCACATAATGAGACCATGTTTCAAAAAGAATGACATGACAAATATGAAAACATAATACAAAGCATGCACAAGTCTTTTCCAGACTCCAATCTAGAAGAAAACATATCTTGAAGAGAAAGGTACTCTCACAATTGCTTTGTGCTAAAGAGCTACTTCATATACAGTAATGAATTACATTTTTTTTAAAGCTGCAAACTGTTTAAGGAATATTATCCCCATGAACCCTTCCTATACTGTTTATTAAAGAATATGTTTCACACAATCAAACACTTGAAGAGAGTATACTATATTACAGCTAATAAGAATAAAAAAATAATGTGGAAAAAATGAAAGCATAGAAACAAAAACATCTCATATAACAATGTGGAGAAAACTCTAAAATACATGGAGTAGAATTCCATCCCAGGTTCAGACTTGCAAATGACTGCATCCTCAAAGGCACAGTTTTTGTTGTTGTTGTTGTTGTTGTATTTTGCTTTGGTACCCTGGTATCCTCTATATAAAGAAACCCAGGCTATCCTGCTAGAGAGAGCAGCCACATGTAGCCCTTGGGGTATGAAAGACCACATGGTAAAAGAGGTCACATGGAACCAACAGCACCTTGGTTCCAGACATATGGGGAAGTTCATCCCAGACTTTGTAACCTAAATTAGGCATTTGCTGAATGCAACTTAATGAGTGAGTCCATTTGTCAACACATGGAGCAGAAGTGAACTATTCTCAATGAACCCTGCACAAATTCTTGACTCACAAAATTGTGAGCAATAAAATGGTTGTTATTTTAAGCTGCTAAAATTTGGATTGGTTTCTTACACAGCAATAGATAACTGAAACATGGGTTTGATAATTTGTACCTTCTTTTTTTTCACAACCAGTTTTGTTAGAGAGTACCAGTTTTTTTCTGGCATGGTCAGAAAACACTTTGAAATTTCAATATCTTAAAATTTTTTGAGACTTACTGTATTGCCCTGATTATGGTCTATCTCGGTAAATGTCCCATAAATACATAAAAGAATATGTATTCTGCAGTTGCTGAGGATTGTGTTCATCAATGTCAATGCAGTTAAGGTGGTTAATAGTTTTGTTCAAATCTTTTATATTGTTACTGATTTTTGTGTGTGTAACATTACTATTAATTATTGAGACAGGGTGTTAAAAACTCTAACTGTGGATCTGCTTCTTCCTTTAGTTTTGTCACTTTTTATTTTACATATTTTTAATCTCTGTTATTGGACATGTAATCATTTATGGTTCTTATGTCCTCTTAATGAATTGACTATATTATCATTATGAAATATCTTTATCTCTGATAATACAGTACTCCTTATCTTGAGGTCAAATTCACCTGATATTAATATAGTCACTGCAGGCTTCCTAGCTTACTGGGTGCATGATATATCTTTATTCATTTTTTTGCTTTCAGCTTGAGTTTTTATTTTAATGTGCTTCCTTTATAGACAACAGATAATTGGGGCTTGTTATTTTTAAACCAATTTGTTTAATTGTGTGTGTTTAATCCATTTATATTAATTGTAATCATTGACATTATTGAATTTAGGCCTATCATTTTGCTGTTTGTTTTCAATTTTTCCATTAGTTTTGTGTTCCTATGTTCTTCAGTCCCTGCATTCTTTTAGGTTAATTAGTGTTTTTGTTTTTAATTCCTCTGTTGGCTTTAACTATATCTCTTTGCATTATTGTTTTATAATGTTTCTGAGAATTCTGATATACATTTTTAACTTATCACAGTCTACTTAGAATTAAAATTGTGATATTTCACATAAACAAAAGAGTCTTGCAAAAGTACAGTTCTACTTACCACCTCCCCAAGCCCTTTGTACTATACATCTATATACTTATTATTTTTGATTTAAATAGTCATATGTATTTCAAGGAAATTTAGAGAAGAGAAACATGATGTCTTATATATATTGCCTACATTTTACTATTTCCAATGCTTTTAATTTCTTTCTGTTTATGATGGATTATCTTCAAAAATAGCTGTCAAAAATGGTTTACATTTTTTGGACATCCATATTGCTTCTTCCATTAAGAAGTAGAGTCTATGTTCCCACCCCTTGATGATGAACAAATATAGTGAAAGTGACGCCATGCCAATTCTCGGCCTAGGACTTAAGAAGCCTTGCACGTTTCACATTTATCCTCTAGGAAGCTGGCCAACAGATAAATACATTTAGGTTAGGTAATTTTTTTTTTTTTAAGTTGGAGTCTCACTCTGTTGCCTAGACTGGAGTGCAGTGACCACTCCCGGCCACCGCAGCCTCGACCTACTGGGCTCCGGCGATCCTTCCGCCTCAGCCTTCCAAGTAGCTGGAACTACAGGCACATGCTACCACACCCAGCTAATTTTTTGATTTATTGTAGAGATGAGGTCTGGCCAAGTTGCCCAGGCGAGTCTCGAACCCGCGGGCTCAGGCAATCCACTCACCTCAGCCTCACAAGGCGTGGGATTACGGGCTGAACCACTGAGCCCGGCTTAGGTTGGGTTTTTAATTAGTAAAAAAACATTACTGAGAATTAGGCCTATCCCAACCATTAGGCAGCATTGCTGAGCCACCAGACACCAGAATGAAGCTATTTTAGAAGTTCCAACCCTGGCCAAGCTACCAGTTGAGTGCAGCCTCATGAGTGACCTCAGCCAATAATACCCAGAGCAGAAGAGCCCACCTAGTTAAATTCAACCAAGTCATGGAGTAGGAGTTAATAAATGATTGTTTTAAACTACTAAATTTATTACATAGTAAAGGATAACTAAAATACTATAGATCTCCGTTTCCATATGATGCATCATCTTTTATCCTGAAGAGTTTATTTTAGCAATGCTTATACGGAAGATCTATTGGTGTTACATTTCCTGGTTTTGCCTGGGCTGGTGTCTCACACCTGTAATCTGAGCACTTTGGGAGGCCAAGGCAGGAGGATTGCTTGAGCCCAGGACTTCAAGACCTGCCTGGGCAACATAGCAAAATCTCATCTTTTTAAAAAATCAAAAAATTAGCAGTAAGGTGGCGCATGCCTGTAATTCCA